GGGGAGGGGACGGCGGCGGTCGGCATGAAAGCGGCGAAGGCGGAGGGAGGGAGGAGAGGGTATAATGGGGAGATTGGAGAAGAAAGGGGAGAAATGGAAATGGGAGAGAGGGTTTAATGGGTTTAATGGTGTGGTTTGACTCCTAGTCCTCCATGCGATTTGTCGACGGGGACCTTCGGTGAGTGACACGTCACTGTTGATGAATTTAAGGCCATCGAGTTTTCATCTTCTGCGGATCACCACATCACGATATTTCATGTGCTCCATTGCCACATCATCCGCCCCCAATTTCCAAATATTCATTTCTATTTCTTTTTTTTAGTTATTAGTATTCTTTTAAATTTCTAATTAATTATCAATTTCATCCTAATATTTTGGAAAAGTCTAAATTAAGCTCTTTTGATATGTCATCATTAAATTATTGCTTTTATTAATATATTAAAATTTAGACATGCTCACTCAGAATAAATGAAATTTATAGATTAACAATCTGATTCAAATATATTAATAATAATGTGATAGGATAAGAAAAATCCATTTTTTTTAAAAGGAGAAGATATCCAAGCCTGAATTTTGCGAGGAAGATATCTTGATGTCTCCGAATTTCCTAGTAATTCTAGGTTTTTCTCTCTATAAATAATATAAAATACTCTTTGATACGCAATTGAAGATTGGTGCACATGTGTAAATCTTGAACCGCCAAACTTCTATGTCAACAAATAATACACTAATTTGTTTAATGAAATTACTTGATTGAAAATTTCTAATACATCAAAAGTAAAATCCATAATTTTAAAACATCAATGAATAACACACTAACTTTAAAATTATCTAAAGATGTCTTGTCAATCTTTTTACTACATTTTCCCTTCAGAACATATGTATCCGTGCTCTCTCTGTAAAGGATACATTTAAACTTTTATACTGTATTTTTTAATATAAGAGTATAAATTATTGAGAATAATAAGCTAAAGTAGTAATGGGACAAAATCAAAAAATTAAAAATATAAATATGAACTTAACATAAATAAAAAGTGTGAATAGAAAGTACAGGGATTGAGAGTTCTTAAACGAGAAAATCATGATGCTATAATGATATCATGTAAAATTTCATATGATTAAGTATAAACGAAATAGAATAAAGTTATTTTTGTTTTCAATTAATCGCAAAATTTATTGACTTGAAAGTTGAACAGCGTGGCAGAGGGTGATTGGTTGTAGTGTGTACGTGAGCCACAGAGGATGAGAAAATAAAAAGTGGTGGCCCACAGAAGAGGAGAGCTGTGATCTTCTACGAAATTTGATGCCAAAAAGCAAAACCCATTCATACGTAAAACAAAATACTAAAATAATAATAATAATAAAACCAGAGAGAAAAAAAATTATTTTTAATTTTTATGATTGGATGGAGATAGAATGGATATATGGCAGCCAATAATATTGGGAAGTGTCTAAAGTCAAAATAATTATAATAAAAAAAAAACATATATTTTTTCAAAAGCTGATGTTGAAATTGATGTGAAGCCGACCTTTTATATAATGGAGCACAAAACATATGTTGGTTGGACCAAGAAAAATCTAAATTCTAATTTGGTCTAGACTTATATATATATTTCAGATATTTTTGAAATTTCTATTGTAACATATTTTTTAAATTTTAAATAAAAGCCCTATTTATTAATTATTAAAACAACTCTATTTATTGGATCATAGAAAGAACTAAATATCATATAACAATTAAAAAGGGTGTGGCATGAGTAGGCCGTGGCCAAGAAATCATTTGTTTCGTAACCGTAATTAGAGGTGCTGCTCTGATAAGACAGTCTTATTTCCGTAGTTAAGCCGAAGCCAACATTCAAGACCTCCGTTCAGGTTTCGAAAGCACAACGTCATTAATATTACTCACCCAATAGTGCCCCATAAAATCTGACCACCCTTTAAAAAAGAAGTCACTAGCTTATAAAATTACCGATGTGGGAAAATTTAACGTAAAATTGGGCATTTTAGCGACAACCCATCAAAATAAAAGCCCGCCGGGTCATCCCTTAAACCCCTCGAAAAATCCCCAATTCCCAGTCTAGGGTTTCCATCGGCGACTTCCGATCATCCCTCCGATTTGCTTACCAGAAACGGGAAAATGTTTCCAGGAATGTTTATGCGCAAGCCCGACAAGGCTGCTGCTCTGAAGCAGCTTCGGTCGCACGTCGCTATGTTCGGCGTATGGGTTGCTGTAATTCGAGTTACCCCCTACGTTCTCCACTACCTTTCCGACGAGAAAGAAGAGCTCAAGCTCGAGTTTTAGGCCACTCTCTGAGGTATTTACAGTCCATTGTGTTGATTGATCTTGTTTGGTTTTGGAACTTTAGGGTTTGGGCTGCCGTGTACGGTATGATGTTTCTCTTTGGAGAACTGAGCCACTACATCCGAATTTCGACCTCTATATTCTTTCCTGATGCATTTAATGTGTTCATATCATCCCTTGGAAGTTTGGTTATTTGTTTGAAGTTTGTTCGTATATCACTGGGCAGTTTTTTTAATAAATGAAATAGATCTGCTCTTGTTTCGTTACTTGTTTAGATGAATAGTTTCTCTGATTAAGGTGTTTACCGTGGTTTTTGTGAGTTCATAGTTGTCTCTTGAATTCTGTGCTGCTTAATGCTGAGAAGTGGTTGATTTTGTAGACTTGGCCGCTTATTAGCTTCTAGAATGATGTTTTTGTGATTTAAAAAATGCGTTTATTTGGGACGGAATAAGTGATATTGCTGCATTGTCATGTTTCGTTTTGCTAATTGTTATATTGGTCGGAATATGTAGATTAACATCCTGAATCTCTCTCAATAGTTAAAATGCTTGTAGAAGGTGGGCTGCAATAATCGTGAGCCATTAGTCTATACGAACATATTATCTTTCTGATATTCCGATGACAATTATAAATTGAAGAGGATTTCATACCTGATTCATGTTCAGTTCATCAGAAGAATCATGCTAGGTTGTTTGTTTTTTTCTCCCATAAAATTTGGAACAAGCAGAGAAATTGAATGCACATGGAAATGGGAATCGTGAAGATAGATGATACTTGAGTGCAGCGAGGTTATATATTTTTTTAAAATCTGATTCAAGATGGCATTGCATTTGCAGGGTCTGCTAACTGCTATGAAATGTAAACAGGGAATTTTAATATGTTTTTAATTGATAGGTTTCCTTCTTGAAAACAAAGTTGTTTATAATTAATTACATATATTTGATGTTATAGGAAATGAAACCACCTCTAATTTTCATTCAAATGTGAATTGTTTTAGGTTCAAGTGGTTTATTCTCTCTGGTGATACTGATATGTTGTAACGACTATCACTTATCAAAAAAAAGTATTATTTCTGCTTATGATTACTCCACATTGTTATGAATGGAACACGGCCCTAGTGATTTTGAAGCGAAGCCTAGGTTTGCTGTTAACTTGCTTGATTAGTCTCTCCCGTTCTACTCTTCCCTCCATTTTGTTCTTTAATTTGATCAACTGTGACTGCTCTGCTGCCTAATTAGATAACCTGTTCCAGCTTCCTTCTACTTCTAATCTTCATCCTAACATTGTGCTACAAGCCGCTGTGTTTAATGTAATTAGATTTGCACAAATCACTTCTACTAACCATTTTCTCCTTCATTCTATATGCAGTTTTTGACTGGAGCATGGGGTGAAGGCATTCCAAATCACAACTTTTCTTTCCTCTATTGATCTCATGGGGAGAAATGAGGCTTGATCTTCTTTCATTGTTTTTCTTTTACTTTTCGATAGGCAAATGGCTATTATCATGTGTGATGAAACTTGAAATCATTCCATTAAATCTCAGGTTGGCTGTGAGGCAAATAATGCAGGTTGCATTAAAGATGGTAGAATATGTTAATGTAAGATACTGAAGACATTGTCCTGTTATTCAGCCAAAGTTATTGGCCTCAATTGTTATAATTTTTTCTCCATTAAACTCCCATTAAGAATGAATGAATATAAACTGCATTCCTACATATTAGTAAACCACCATAAACGGAAATGAAACTTTTCGTTCTGGTTCCGATTCCTATTCTATTGAAGTAAAGAGGGCTGCTATAATATCTGTTAATGGTAAACATTGCTAGGCTCCTAACTTTTACGTATGAAATGTTTTTTGATTTTAATTTTCTTTTTATGTCGTTAATATTAACTTTTAAGTATCAGAAATTCTAATGAACCGTGAGATGTCGATGTTTATTCAATCATTAATGTGATTTTTCAAACTATGGTTGAGCAATGGTCATTCGGGTTGGTTTTTAGCCGACCCTGATACCGAAAACCAACACCGTCAGTTTCCTAATCTGGAAATCGATGGTAAACTTGCAGGAATTGGTGCTGACTGAACTAACTATGGGTTTGGTTGGTCGGTTTGTCGAAAAACTGATGATGCTATTTTTTTAATTTGTTCCTATTTTTTCATTATTTCTATTCAATTACTCTTGTATGTGCTGTTTTTCATTATTCTTTACCTGTAGTGCTGTTTTTCATTATTTTTTACCTAAGACTGTAGCAAGGGGGAGGGTTTCAAAGCTAATGTCTAAAAACATAAAATTAAAACTAAAAATTAAAATATAAAAAAATAAATCTAATAGGTATATTACTGTTGGTCAGTCGAAATTTGGGGGGTGCATGACTGTCGATTGTTGACAATCGAACTGACAGACCAGTGATTCAACCAACCAATGTCGGATTGGTTGGATCGGTTTTTTCGGGTCTCTTTGCTCGCCTAGTTGATATGCTAATACTTAAGAAGGTTATTTTCAATTTATTTGTTTTTGTAATTTAAAAGAAATAAATCTAGAAACAGTGAGTAAACATATCGTTTTTTTTTTCAACATAAACAAATAATTACCGAAGAATGAGATAATTTAGGAGAGACAATGGGGAGTGAGAATTATGAGCAACAACCATTTCTGTGAATTGAAGATGCATTGTAGGGTACATGCCCTTGGTCTCTAATAATTCAAAATGTCCATTGTAGGGTACCTAATGCCATGAGTTTCCAATAATTCAAGTGTCATTGTAGGCCACATCTTGCCCTGCCCCCCAAGTTCCTATATAATTCAAGACCCTTATTGCAGGGGACACCTTGTCCATGCTTCAATTAAGTTTGCTTGGCACCATATTGTTTGGCATCACTTAACACATCAGAGATTCTTTTCTTCTCTCATAATATGGACAAACAATGTTTTTAACCCAAATAAATAAATAAATAAATAAATATAAACTTACTCGACAAGTAATTTACCGTCTATGTTCAAAATTCAAATTTTCTTATTTCTGTCCATTTGAACATAGCGCAGCTCAATTAGTTGAACTTTCTTGGTTGTAGATATATGCCAATTACTATAGTATTGTGGTTGCTTTGGCCACCATTTTAGTTCTTTGATTTTACTTTGGGTTGATTTTGTATTTATACTTTTGCCAGAAATTTGATTGAATTTTGACATTGGTGCCTACCCTTTGATTAAAACATACAACACATTTGCGGAGCATTGTTTGTAAAGGGCATAATAATATCAATTGAATGTCACAAGTTTTTTGTGGTTACAGTAGATTTAATTCTATAATAATGTGACAATTTGTCTTARGAACGTGAGGTCTATCATGCCACGTCAAACAATAGAAATGAGATGACCCAAAAAAAAAAGTTAATTAAATTACATTTTTAATTCCTCTGTCCCTATCTTAGTAYTAAAAGATCGAGGTGTCACATTAGTCGGAAAATATATGAATTTGGGTCAAGTTTATAACCAGTTAGACAATAGTGGCATATTGGAATTTCTATTCCACAAATAAATTGCACCTCACTAACAGCAGAAGCAAATCAAATGAATTGATAGAGACAACAATAACACTTATACAAAGTAAACAAACATACGAGACTTCAATAATTAAGTATAAGGACTAAACGCATAATTCAACSAAAGAAAGAAGAAGAAAAAAGGTCAAGATTTAGGGGGAGATCTTCTAACAATGGTGGCCATGTACTTGCCTTGATGGTGAGCAAGATGAAGCTCAGTGGGAGATGGGGGTCTTGAGCCATCACCAGAGAAGACTCCTGCCCCATATGGAGATCCTCCCCTTATGGACTCCATTTTCCACATTTCACTCCCAAATGTATACCCTATTGGAACATACACCATCCCATGGTGTGCTAGTTGAGTCACTGCTGTCAAACTGCACACAAACAACACCATATCATACATCTGCTCATACATCTGCTCATGTTACCATTTTACCCCTCTAAAAGATTAAATTTATCGTAATTTAAAAGTTTAAAGTTTTATGGTGTAACAAATATTTGATTTCATATTTAGCTCTCGTTTCATATTGATGGTGTATGTATTTTGGTCTTGTGAATAACATTAATATTTTGGATTCAAATGTGAAAGAAGAATGAAAATAGGTTAACATCCACTTCAGCTATGTTAACCCGACATTTCTATTTATACATATTGCTTTTATGGTTCTCTTCCCCGTCTAGGAGAATTCAATAGTTAAAAGAATATAGTTGAATTTTCAATTCTTTTTTTTCCTTAAGATGTATGACTAAGTATAGATATTTTTAGTGGCAAGACAATACCATTTAATATATATATATATATATATATTTTTATGTGATTCTTTTTAAGTTAAAACCATAGACAGGTGGAGAATGATGAGAAATTATTGGAGGAGCTCATCAAAATATAGCGGACAGTTTTACACCGTTGGATTTACAAGAGAAAAACCACAAAAAATCTAGGGAGTAATCACATTGTGGCGACTTTATTCAATAATTTTCTCGAGAAAAAAAGTGTAAACGTTTTAATTTTTGAAGATGATAACTAGAGTTATCTTCAGGTTGACTGACGACTTTTTAATTGAATTTAGAAATTTTGTAGTTGTAGAAAATTTGTGTGATTTATTGGACAATTTTCTAATTTAATTTTTAACTTTTAGATTTTAAATTGGTGGTTATTTAACCAACAAATGGTTGGAAAGAAGCAAAATCAACGAACACTTACGCCGTCGTCTCTTGGCCGCCGCCCTGGGTTCCGGTACTCACAAAGAATCCGGCGGGAATTCCGGCCAGCCTCTGTTCCTCCCACAGCTCACCCGTCGAATCGAAGAACGACTTCATCTGCGCCGCCATGGCCCCGTACCTCGTCGGAAATCCGAACAAGAACCCGTCCGCCTCCGTCATCTTCTCCACCGTGATCACCGGCACACCGTCGTCCTTCTCCGGCACTCTCATCTGCTCCAGAGTCTCCGCCGGCAGCGTCTCCGGCACCTTGAACAGAACTCCTTCCACGCCGTCCACAGAATCCACTCCTATCTTCATCCTCTTCGCCAACTGCTCCACGTGACCGTACATCGAGTAATACACGATGAAGATCCTCAAATTCCTCGAGATTTCTCCAGATCGAGCGGCGATTTCAGGATGATCGGGACGTTGCTCGKTAACGGCAATCGGATCCGATGCCCTGTTCTTGCTAGGTACGCATCCGCTCCCTTTCCCCATTTTGAAATTTTTTTTCTCAATCGGAGAATCGAGGAAACTGTTCTGCGATCATTGATTCGGGGGAAGGGGGAATTCGATTGAGATTTGGAGATTGGATTGGACTTTGAGTTGACTTGATGATTGTATCGATTCAACTGTATGACGGTAAAATTTTCTATTCTTCTTGTTCTTCGATCCGAAAAGGGAAACTGAAATTGAAATTGAAATTGGTTGATAATCGCTGGCATCTCTAGAAATATGATTGATCGAAGACTTGTTCTTCCCTTTGAGATTCCGATTTTTCTGTATGATTGTCTGTTCCAATACAAAAAAGCTCATTATTTTAAGTATTTTCATGGTTCATGTTCTTGTTTAGTGGCATTTTCGGAATTATCCTGATCTCTCTGACCATTTTTTTTAGTTCAACAATTGCGGGTAGAATGTTGAAACATCGTAAACTTTTGTCGATGGCTACATTTTTATCAACGTATATCCGTAGGTTTGACATCAATACGAAGAGCCAATTTGAATAATATCATAACTCAATTGGTTAAAATATATATTTTCGATTAAAGAAATCGTGAGTTCGAATTCTCACGGTCACATGTTGCTGTATTCAGAAATAAGATATTGATTTGAAAGATGATAAGACGTTATAAAATATATCAACATAATATTACCAATGGACATTAATATGAATACCTTTTAACTTATTTAAAAAATTGTAAAATAATTATTTGTTAATTTTAAATATTTGTTGCAAAATTTTCAGAAATATTTATTGATATTGACATTTTATCGTTACATATTTCTATCAAATTTAGAACTCAACATTTTCAACATTAACATTTTTTCTTTAATACTATAACACGCGGGTATGTGGATTCGAGTCAATGTCATTTTGATCGGAGATATATACTTTAACTARTTAAGCTATATTCAAATTTGTCATTTTAATCGACATTTAAAACCTTAGTTACAAATACACTGTCGAATGAGCGYTGCTCGGACGAGCAGAAAAATGAATGAAACATTCATTTTTAATGTATTGTATGGCATATATGTATTTTATATTTGAGCTCGATATTATAAACTTGAAATTTATGCAATGGTGTGTGTTTATATATTTATGTTACTGTTTAAATCCAATTTTGGTCTTCATGGTTTTAGCTTTTACCTATTTTCATCCTTGTATTTTTAAATGTCTACTCATATTCATACTCTATTCATTTTGATTGTTTACTATCAAAACCAACGTCTATTATAATTTATGTATTTTTAAAAAGGGATCGCTTTGGTTTCTTTTTACAAATTCTCAATACAAATTATATATATCATAAATACTCTTCAAATTATGACGATATTTCAATAAATTTTATTGAGTATAATGTTTGCTGAATTTGTAGTTGAAAATAAGTAARATAAAAAGAAAAAAYTAAGACAAATAGATCAAAATGGTCGAGCAAGGAATAAAGTTATTTTRATAGTACAAAATTAAGGGTGTGTTTGGGAGTGTCGGGCCAACATCACTTAAAATTTGTTTGAGGCACCACTTGATATACGATGATTTTGGAAAATAAATTATACTTAAATTTATTTTTTTAAAAATATACTATTTTGAAGGCAGGGATTAGAACATTTATTGAAATTTATTGAAAATTCAGTAAGATCTATTAAATCAAAATGCCTCAACTAAATTACACTTCTGTTGAGATAATTGAATGTAATGTATCTACTCATTCTTATCCCATACTTTTCAGAAAAAAAAAGAAAAAAAAAAGAATTGCATTTGTTAAATTATTGTTTTTTTTTTAATGGGAGAAAGAAATGATCATAAAGTATTAATGTGAGGTGAATGGAAATCATGTTCTATATAAAGTTATAACAACTACTAAATTATAGTTTGGATTTGAAAATGTCCAACAACTGATTTTAGACAGTTATTGTCATCTACTTTCCAGTTCAACCATAAAGAAAAGGACATTCTTTGCAAGTATAATATTTATGGCTAGTTTCTATTTATTATATTTTATTTCTCATTTCTTTTTTTTTCAATCAAGAAAAATATACACGTACAAATAGATTAAGTGTTAATTATCGTTGAACTATGCTCATGTTAGCAATGAAATAAAACAAATATACTGTATAATAATTTCTTGTTATTTGTTCTCTAAAATTTTAAATAAAACAAATAAATTCTTTATATGAAAATTAGTTATTCAAATTAAATATTCAAAACTTTTGAGGTTATATTTATTTTTTGATAAGTTTTATCTATGTTTTGAAAAAAAAAATTAATAATAGGGCCATCGAACAAAAACTTGATATTGCATACAATTTTAGAAATATTTATTAAAAATGAGAAATAAAAAAYAATTATCAAACGTAAAATAGAAAATAGAAACGTTACCAAATGAATAGGACGAGGCATGGAAACTTCTACGGGAGCTTCTGCTAAAACAATGATTTGCAAAGAGAAGAAGATGAACAACTAATATACATTGGCATTGGAAAACCATACTGCCCTACCAAAATACACAAACTCCACATAATCATCAATGAATCCCCCAAGTCAGCTCAAACCAGAGACTGAAAAAAAAAAAAGATGCTCAAAGCTCAAATCAGTGACCTCCCATGGCTACTATCGTCCCTCTGACCGAACGAAGAATGGAACTTCGTCAGCAAGCTTGGATCGGGGTCATTCGTCTTCTCCTTACTTGAAGGACCAACTTTTAGATCTTTTCAGTTCCCATGGGGGTAGGCAGCCTTTATAGTGGGAGTGTAGAAACAGTGAAGATAGTGAAACTTCCTTCTGATTCATTGAGATTGAGGATAAGCAACTGAAGCCGCTCCTCAGTCTTTTCTTTTCGCTGTCGTGTCCCTCAAATCTCGGGTCGTGTTGCACTGTAGAGGCCTTAAGTGCCTTTGGGAGTATGCAGTTGCATTTTGAACCTGCAAAAGAATTGCTTGAAGATTCAGCGTGTGAAATACACCGAGTATCGACATTATTTTAAAAAATGGAAGAGGGGTTTCTGGTCTAAAATCGCATAGGATCTAGCAAGAAGGATATTCAATTTGTCTTAGGGATGTAGAACAAACATTTGAGGGGCGCATACCTATTCTTGCAAGCCGATTAATCCATTTCGGTATGCATTTCCCGGTTAGCTTTTTACATATATCCTCACAGAAATGGTTGCAATTCTTCACGATCAAATGATACGAATCGCCATGATAGTTTGTTGATTGACGCTCCATGAAGTCTCTAACTTGGATTGGATCCAAGCAAGTTGTACCGATATAAATTGATTTCCTAAACTTGAAGCCAGGGCATGTTCGGGGTTCGACCTCGAAGATACCACTTGTCGGGTAGTCGTGGGCTCCGAAGGCATATTCAATGCCATAAACTGTAAGCACAGACAACATCCTAAAATAATCTACACCATATACCATAAGTCCATATATAAATAGGCATTTATTTGTGATTCAAAATGTGAATCAAAGAACAAAAACAGTCCAAAGGAAATTATTAGAAAAAGCTCTAAACCTGACTTTAGCAATGGCCATCTTTGTATGAATTAGTAGCAGACATAAACTTATATCAGACCATGTTAGTTGTTAGAACATAACCTTAAGAACAACCAAAAGGTCAACTTCATGGCGTTGATCATCCGCAAACACGTTTGCGATGGGAACATCACAATAGTAACTTTACACTCTTTGAGGATGTAAAGATTGTTCATACTGACAAGGGAGAACAAAATTGCGACGTAAACTAACCTTCTACACCGGAGTGGAAGATTCCAAGCCCGGCCCAGTAGACGTAGCCATTTGCGGGTGTCAAGTCATACACGTTGAGATAGACGGGAGTTTCGCCCGGAGTACGGGCAGATGCCTTCACCTTCTGAAACAAGCAAAAATTGCTGGCTGGTTTACCTCTAAAATGAAGAGACTTGATGGAATGCCATCCATTCTCTGATCCAGATTTCATGGTTGAGGGTGAAACCAGGAATCAATTGACACTTAGTCTCAGCCTGTAAATTTTGAAAACAAAAGTACACATTTTACTTCATAAGTAATGATAAAAAACTATAAGAACTAACAATTTGGCACTAGAAGAGTTCACGCTGATGTAGAGCAATTTTATGGCGTTTATGTTGAGTTCGTTTCTGATCAAAGTCTGCAATCACAGTGATCTAGACTAGTTCACGAAACAATAGTAAGAATCAACAGCACAGATAGCTACACAGTTATGCCACTTTACAGCTGTTGAATATGTAATATGACCCCATTCGTTCCAACTCGTGAGCTGACCGATGTGAAGTAAATTTATGTTCAGACTATCAAGGAGCTCTAAGAAACGATCAAGGGCGAATGAAATGTTTTCCTTAAGGTGAAAGCATCACAAAGTAGAATTGTACTTTCCTTTCTTCCTCTTCTTTTACAATGATGTAGCATTCAGTTCTTCTTGGGATCTAATCAAGTCTCTAGCTCTGCAAGATCTTTTGTCCATTCCATATGTCTATGTTCCCACATCCCGTCAATCGGTTTATTCGAACTTCAACAGCGGGTAGACGTTTTATCTATAGCACAGGACTAGGTCCCTGTAGATCCAAAAAACTGGAGAAAATCCAGTACAAGTGGATCCCCTCCAGCTGCAAATTTCAGTTCCATCCCATGACATCATTCAAGTTTTTTGGGTCTTTCCTTCTGGAACCTTTATTGTACTCCCCTAATAAGATTCCTTGTATAGTCCCACAAGCAAAGCCAGGCCAAATAAGTGAAAAATGCAGCCAACACACACTATCAAGTATGAAACTCAACTTGAATCTGGGGATGGATTTTGGTCTCTTTGCTAAAGAATGCTGAAAATTAGTTCAAAAATGGACAACTCACTATGAAACTAATCATAACTTAGACCTGGTGATTTCATATCCAACTAGATTATCCCAAGATCCAAGTTATAACGGTAACTCAAAAGAGAAAGCAGAAGTCAAACTCCTAAATAAATAATATCTTCAGTCTAAGAGGCAAAGTTCTAGCAATGTCAAGCACAGATTAGCAAAGAAAAAATAAAAAATCTAAGTGGCAGTAGATGAGCTTCACATTTCGACAAAACAAAGAAGGCACTAAAGCCCAACCCCAGGAGGAAAAATGAGTCAATTAATGCATATAGTCCACAGAGGAAACAGATCAGATTCACAAGAAAACCAGAAAGTCAAACGGAAAAGTAGAGAAAAAAATCAAGTAAAAGAGACCCAAAAATGCACAACAAAAAGAAAAACAAGATGGGAGAAGAGAAGAGAAGAGAAGAGAAGAACCCTTTTGTTGAAGGAAGAAATAATTGAAACCCATTAGAGGAAAAATAGGAACAGACCTTTCAGTTGGGGGGAAGGGTGAGACAGCCATCAGAGGGCGAAGAAAGAGGGATTACAGAGGAGCAGGGCAGTGGCAGCCATTTCCAGAGCTCCAAAGGGGAGGAGCGTGTGGGTATCTGAAATGCAGGGCTGGTGGGTGTTTTTTTTTTCTGCTTCTGAACCACACTGTCCTTTTCGGAAGTCTGTACTATTAAAGAAAAGGGAAAATGAGAGGCGATTTTGAGAGGAAATTTTATAAAGGAGCTAACAGTCAAAGGGGTGAGAAATGGAAGTAAACCCTGAGGCTGGTTATTAGCTGTTGCTTGATTTGGATTTTGATCCGCAGAGTCTGTTTTGCGAAGAGAAGATGGGAGTCCCCATTTTTGTGATTGTGAAGCTCTATTGAAATTCTACTACCAGCACCAGCAGGCAACAAGCTTGGTCCTTTGCTACTTGCTAGTACGTTTCTTGACTCTTGTTTCAACAATGATGGGGTTTAAAGTTAAAGGGAATCTAGTTCTTTGAAGATGAGGATTTTGTTGAATGAGTGGAGTTTCAATTTAGATTTCACACTAACATTTTTTTGTCTAAATCCCAGTTTCCCCCTAAATTCTTTAAGTTCCTTTTTTTTTTTTTACATATATAACTTCGATTGGATTGGACTTGTGCGAGGGCAAATAAAATTATATTTTATTAAGAAAGGAAGTAATTAATGTATATAAATTAGGACAATTATCTTCATTGCTACGAGGTMTTTTTGGTGAAATCAAAAGTAAACCCATGAGAGTTAATGTCCAAAGCGGACAATATCATGCAATTGTGAAGATACTTGGAGTATTAGCGGCAACGAAGTTTTTAAAGAATGCTCTTTTCATTCGAGTTCTGAAGTTTATTTTAGGTTTAGATATTATTTGGGATCTACTTTGGCTTTTGATTAGTTTCATAGTTTATTTGGTTCACTTTTGCATCTATGCTTTCTATTTTGGTTATTGTACTTTGGAAAAAGACTATTTTTATTTTTATCTCATTTTTCTAACATAAGTTTAGTACGACACTTCACTCACTAAATTTCTTGAAATATAACCATAAATTTATATTCAATATTTTCCATTGTGTACAAAATTTGTGTTGGGATTAAAAATAAAGACCAATTTGGTTACTTTTTAAAAATACATTGATCGAAATTGACATTTTAAAAGTTGAAGAACTAAAATGAATAAATATATGAATCAAAATAATATTTAAATATTTATTTTAGTTTAGTTTTTAAACTTTTAAAATGTCTTTAAAAATATATCTATTTTTTCTAAAATATATCAATTTTTGTCCTTATATTTATTTTATTTTTAATGGATAGTGTACCTCCGAGTGTATGTATAAACGTATTAAAACGCGCATGTATTGGAGCTTCTTACGTTGGTTGCAACAAATATTATGTGAGCGGATATTTTTTTCTTTAAGTTCATGGACAAATAAACATGAAAAGTTTACTAACCAAAATATGTTGCTTTTCTTTTCCTTCAACGTATCATGATAGGATAATATGAATTTTATTTATGTTAAATTATAAGTTTGAGCAGACCGGTAACATTCTCTCTTTCACTCGAAATTTCGAATTTATGGACTTCCATTATGTTAAGAGGGGATGATTTTGTAGCTCATAAGTTGGCGAAAGGAGCAATTTCATCATCTTGTGGTCATCCTCTTTTCCTCGTTAGCTAGCTAATGTAGAAATTTGCTTGTTCTAGGTGTTAATGAAGCTTATTTTTCTTTTACAAAACTTTTATTTCTCAAGTATGATAGATCTGTATCAATTTAAATCTATGGTTACACTCTTGATCAATTAAAGTTATTACATATTACTGTTTTATTCAATCACTCGCTTTCTTCTTCTTCTTTTCAAGTCGAAAAATGTACTTAAAACCAACATCCCAAAGTTGTTACTAAGTTCTTTTTTTTCTTTTGATCAGAACCATTTGCTTGCATTTCGACTAATCTCGGGAAATAACCTTAAAATTGATGTTAAGTTGATAGTTGATTTGAGAATATTCTTGTTTATTATTATTATTATTTTTTTAAATTTAACCAAGCGTTAGTGAGAATATTTGGACCTTTGGACTTTCACGAAAGTTATTAGTAGTTGATCCATGTACAAGTCAGTTAGGGAGATTTTTACTATTTATATTGCTGTGGTAATGTAGGGATGACGTGCTAACGGACGGACCACGTACAATCTTATTTTATTTCCTTTCTTTATTTTGCTCTCTTTAGTTTTCCAAATTAGTAATTTTTTATATCAATCATTATCTTATTGTGTCAAATCATAACTCATTGCTCCAATAAAAATATCATGCCAAAATTTAAGTAAAACTGCTAATAACAAAACTTTATGAGAATAAAAATTAAAGTAGACGTACAAACTTTTTTAAGTGTATAAACCAAACACAGGAGCACAAAATGAGAAAAAAAAAAAAGAAGAACCATCATTCAATAATGAATATTTAAAAAAATTAATCTGATTATTATTATCATATAAAATAAATCTTATGGTGTGCAAATAAGACACGCATTACTATTCTACTTTCATTCTTGAAAAATGGAAGGGAAGAAAAAGCCCCTTCATTAGAAGTTAGAAAGAGTCCTCTAAAGAAGGATAGAATCTAAACATTGATTCTTTTTTTCGCTATTTTTTTTGAACCGTATGCATCAAAAGGTGCCCGTACGGTTCTTAAGGGATACAATTTTATCCTAATCAACCGACTTTATCGAGAAAGATTACTTTTTTTAGGCCAAGAGGTTGATAGCCAGATCTCGAATCAACTTATTGGTCTTATGGTATATCTCAGTATAGAGGATGATACCAAAGATCTGTATTTATTTATAAATTATAAATAGCATTGATATAAAACTTTTAATCAATCGAGTAATATGATGAATACGTTGGTTGAATATTTGGTGTAACAATTTAGTTTATAATTATTTAGTTGTTTGTACATTCAAATTGATAATAATTTAGTCCCTAAATTTTAGTATTGTAACAATTACGTCTATGTAGCATAAAATTTATAACAGTTTAGTCCATATAGTGAATTTTTTTTTATTAAAATTCATAGATGTTTCTTATACATGTAGATCGATAAACTAATGAAATACCAAATGTGTTTATAAATTCTTTTTACAAAAACAAATGTGTTTATAAATTACAAAAACAATCACTGTATGATAAAAAAAACAATTTTTAATTTTGACAGAATTTTTTATCATAAAAATAAAATTGTTATAAAATTTAAACTATAAAGTATATATTGTTATATATTACAATTTAGAGGCTAAATTATTAATTCTGGACTTCACCGTTGCGCATGGAAAGTTAAATAAACTGCAAAACATAACTAAAAAGACCACACAAAACCCCAAAATGGGCTAGGGAAGGGATTAATTTTGGATTTAAGCAAGTACAGGGTTCATTTAGCAAATTCTTATCCTCTATGGGGCGTTTTCGTGATTATACTTAAAATTAGGGCCAAACTGCAAATACTCCATTCTTCCGCAGACTATACTTCCATCGCAGAACGACTGCAAGGAGATCTCTGATCTCGCTCTCGCACTGTGCCACTTCCCAAAACCCTAGAACAATGGCGAAGCCCATCGTCATCTTCGCTCTAATTGCTCTTCTCCCATTTCTCTGTTATGCCTTCTCCCCCGAGAACCCCACGGATCGCAAAGTCCTCGTCTTGCTCGACGACTTTGCCATCAAGTCTTCCCACTCTTTGTTCTTCAAGTCCCTCCAGTCTCGGGGTTTCGAGCTCGATTTCAAGCTTGCCGATGACCCCAAGATTTCCTTGCAGAGATATGGACACTATTTCTACGACGCATTGATCTTGTTTTCCCCTACAATTGATCGTAAGTCTTCACGCATTTCTTCCTCTGAAGGTTTAGTGTTAGAAAATTAATGGGAGGTTTGGTTTTTGTGATTCACCGTTTGGAGAACGGAGACATTGGGTCAATTGGATTTTTGGGTTTCTTACAGTTGTTCGTATATCCTATCAATTGCTTGGAATTTGTTAATTTTGAGTTAAAATCTTCTCAAGTTGTGGGAATTACTCGCGATGGACCGGATTGATATTGTGATAATTGTTTACGCTTTCATCCATCGGGGTTTGTAGGTTTTGGAGGATCCGTCGATCTTGCTGCTATACTGGATTTTGTCGATTCGGGTCATGATCTGATTCTTGCTGCTGATTCTAATGCATCTGAGTTGATCCGAGAAATTGCCACTGAATGTGGTGTTGATTTTGATGAGGTATGTGGACATCTAGAAATTTTTTATATTTGGCGTATAAAGATTCTACTAGAATTTTTTAAAAACAAAAATTATTATTTTTTTCATTTCCACGAGAAAACGGATTGTGTTTTGTTTAATTCCGCTGCTTTTCTGTACTTTCTATACTTATATGAGAAGTATTATGTCAAAGGATCCAGCTGCTGTTGTCATTGACCACACCAGCTATGCGGTATCAGAGACTGAGGGAGATCACACATTGATTGCCAGTGACAATTTGATCAAGTCCAACGTAATTGTGGGAAGCCAGAAAATTGAGGCAAGTAATATGCTTCAGTAATTTTGGAAAGATGATCATGGGGGAAGATAATAGTCTTCATCCTTTAATTGCATCTTTTTGTTGGGGCTCTTGTTAAATACCAAAATATCGTTACTGTTTGCTTGGCTATCTTTCCAGCACCTGTTGGATTATGGAAAAAAAGTCATAGATAATTCACATAATTAGTTTCTTTTGGCTGCTCAAAATTTCTGAGACTGATGACCACCATTCATTAATGCATTTGTAGTAACTGTATTTTGTGTCTAGCTCTAAACCTGTTTTTGCATGATATTTGTGACCCCTTCTCGACCACTCAAAGTCTGGTGTGTTTGTCACTGTCATTGTAGTTAGAATGCTTATTTCTAATTACTATTTGAATGAATGTTCCACACAGGCTCCTGTGCTTTTCCAGGGGATTGGCCATACTTTAAATCCTGCCAATAGCTTGGTAAGATGTTTGGATTGTGTTTATTTTACAACTTCTTCATAGTAATTAATGCTTCTGGAAGTTACTACTATAACTCTGGATTGGCACGACCATTTTTATGTATCAAGCTCTCTTCTTTTATTATATAGGTGCTTAAAGCTCTCTCAGCGTCTCCCTCAGCATATTCTGCCAATCCAAAGTCCAAGCTATCAAATCCTCCACAGCTAACAGGATCTTCTATCTCTTTGGTTTCAGTCATTCAGGTCAAATGTTGATTTAGTTCCTGCTTTCCTCTCTATGAATCACTGTTGATGGTTTGTTTCTATGTTTATGGAGCATAAAGTTTGATAAACTAAATGATGAAGATTATTGAATAAGCACGATGAGGGGAAATTTGTAATATATTGATTAGTTTACTTAGCTTTTATCTTGCTTCCGAAGGACTTGTTGACTTCCAAACTCGGGATTAATTCTTTGAAGTCTAACTATAAACTGGGGTTATTGTGGATGTATCTTCTGAAAATGACACTAAGAAGATTGTAGAATGTTCACTCTTGATGGAGAGATTTTTTTCTTCCAAGTTTCTCTTTCTTTTCTTGGGTTATTTCTTTTGGATTCTGATTTTGGGACGATTTCTTACCAGCCATTCTTTGGGTCTCTCTCTCTCTGTCACGCACACACACACACACAATGTAATGTTTCCTATCACCAAAGAGAGAGAGAGAGAGGACAAAGACAGAGAAAGAGAAACTAATGGTTTTTTCTATTTTGCAGGCAAGAAACAGTGCTCGGATATTGATCTCTGGATCATTGAGTTTGTTTAGCAATCGGTATGGAATGCTACTAACTTCTTTACCAGTAATTAAATTTATTTCTTCTTCTGCTATCTCAGGATCTCTTAAAAATACACTTTTTCCTCTTGTAGACTTTTCAAATCTGGGGTGCAGAAGGCTGGGAGTCCAACCAAGTAAGTGAAAATTCTTGAACCTTGATAAACATGTTTCTAGTCATGGATGCTGAAACTTATAATCACCTTTTTAAATTGCTGCAATCCTTCTCTTTCCTTTCAACTTTGACATGGTTGATGATCATTATGGCATCTTAATATGCAATGATGTTGATGGCCACTGTTCTTTGGTTTGTAAACTGAACTTGAAAATGATATCTCAAACACACTAGTAAATTTCAATTGCAAGCATATATACAAGTAAATTCTTCTAGTGAATGGTAGAAAACAATTGTGAAGCTGCATAAATTATTAATGAACTGTTGGTTTGGTCCTAGGAGTAACTTAGATTGGACAGCTAAGAATATTGATTGAGGAAATATTTATAAGAATTTAGTTCACTTGGTAGCAATTATTAGTATTTAGCATTCATATGAAATGAAGATTATTAGTTCTCTTTCCGTTTCTAGGCGATTAAAAATTATAAGCTTCTACAGTACAATTAAGAAAGAGTTGTGTGAAAATTATTTTGTACTCCTAAACTGCACGTGAAACATTTCCTCCTTCCTAAACTGCACGTGAAATAGGGTGCATTTTTTTCATAACTCTTTTTCTATCACAGACAACTGTGAAGTATTTTTGTAACCTTTCTAGCTCTTGGGTGGAATCATCCTTCCCTTGTCTCAATTTTTTTTCTCTCATAAAGAGAAACTGGATGCTATAAGCAGACTTGCTAGTGAGAATATTGTGGGAAATTTGTTGATTTTTACTCTTAAATTTCATTACTCATGACAGAGACTATTAGTAACGTTTGTAGTGTGTTATCAGTTATCACAACAGTTAGTGCCGTAGCATTATTGCAATCTGTGATTTCATGACAAAAGTGCACGTATTAAAGAAAAGTAAATGAAGAGGATTCTAAATATTGATTTCCCCCCAGTCTGAAGATACTTGTTTAAGAGGTTATGTTGTGATAGCAGGCATGATAAATCCGGCAACGAGCAGTTTTCAATTGAATTAAGCAAATGGGTTTTCCATGAGAGAGGTCATCTTAAGGTGAGGCAGTTTTTTGGTTGTCTTATATGACTTTGAGTAAACATTTTGACATTTTGTATTCGTATGAATCTATTTTATCATCAGATTGTATTTGCTAATTCTAACCTGCTGCATCACAAATTGATGCCTGTATTTGTAGGCTGTGAATGTTAGGCACCACAAAGTTGGGGAAACTAATGAACCGGCAATTTACAGGATTAATGATGAATTGGTAACTTTAGTTTTAGAAAGGCTAAATACCCAAGGAAATGGAAATATTTGAATTATTCTGACCTTTGGATTCTGTCTAAAGGAATATTCAGTTGAGATTTACGAGTGGTCTGGTAAGGCATGGGAGCCATATGTGACTGATGACGTTCAGGTGCAGTTTTACATGATGAGCCCCTATGTTTTGAAAACTTTATCGACCGACAACAAGGTAGGAATTTCATTTCTATGATTGTTTTTTATTTGATCTTATCTATGGATTTGATTGAACCTGTATATTTATAGCAACTTTTTCTTGTAGGGTCTTTATCATACAGCCTTTAAAGTTCCAGATGTATATGGAGTGTTCCAGTTCAAGGTTGAGTATCAAAAACTTGGCTACACTACCTTATCTCTATCAAAGCAGGTAATGTTGAGTTTATCTTGATGCATATTAAATATGGCTTATGAGGGAATGTGGAAGTTGATAGTTCGCATTATAGCTTTTGCCACCGTTTCTTTTGCGTCCATCAGTTCTGGAAATTGTGTCCATTACTGCGGTTTAGGATGGAACTTGATCACTATTTTCAAATTTACACGTAGGCTTCAATGCATTGAACACCGTTAGCATCTTCTTAATGTTAGGCAACCTCACTCAGGCATTCACATTAGTGTGCCCTGCGCCTGGGTGAAGTCTTTCATTTTCGGCTTGTTTGTTAATTACTATGAAATTTTCTGGAAATTGCATCAATTGCTCCGTGTGTAGGATGTAATTCAGCAGTTCTGTAGAGAAATGCAATGAGCTTACTTCGATGCAGCTGAGGCTTATTAGTTCAATAATTTGATTTGGGTATATTAAAAATTCTCCAATCCTGCAAGAACAATATGCAATTTGAATTATATTTGTCCATGACCTGCTTTTGCCTGTAATGCTATTCATGGACATTTGGCGATAGGAGTCAATGCATCTACTTTCTGTTTACTTTTAGTCAGAAAGTGGCCTATCAATAGTGCTATACAAAACATCTGGTGCTTAAAGATATTTCTATTTCAACCCGAGGTCCAGCCGAGAAGGCAGAAAGTGTTGTCTGTGCATATTTTCACTTAACATCATGAATATTTCATTCTTCAGTTATTTACCATCCCCATTTCTTGAACATTCTTATGTTGCAGATTCCAGTGCGCCCCTTTAGGCACAATGAATATGAAAGATTTATTCCTACGGCTTATCCATACTATGGAGCAACATTTTCAATGGTACGACTCTTTTTATGCGTCTTTTCGAGGAGTAAGCCTTTGATTTTGTCCAAGTGACCAACCTATAGATTGAAACATTTCCTGAGTTGGAAATTGCACTCTCATCCCATTATGGACCGTTTAGACTCTATTTGATACTGATTTTTGTCATTAGTTTTTTTAAATTAGACTTATTTAACTGCTTTCACTTTTTCAAAAACCACTTTTGAATTCTCAACCCAGTTTTAGATAACGTTTGTAAAAAAGTAGATTGCAATGAACAAAGAAATTGAGTGTAAATAAGCTCATCATCAGAAAGTTTTTTCTTTTACTTGATTGATCTTCCAAGTTGTTAATGTTTTAGAATTGGTAAATCATAAGAATTGGATTGGATTGTTGTGCAGATGGCTGGCTTCTTCGTCTTCACCGTTGTTCACCTATACAACAAGTAAGCAACCATGCAGATCCAAACAAACTCAATCAATGTAAGGATGCAGAGCTTAGTTTTTCTGATTTTGAATTTTTATTTGAGCTCTACCTCTTTTTCCATATTTTAATTTTTGAATGCTGCTGTTATAATTATGGATACTTTAGCCTTAGTGATTAATATAGAGAAAATGACAATTTTGTTGAGAGAGCAGCTTTTGTTTTAACTTTAGATTATTCTATGTACAATGCATGTGGAGATTTTAGTTTTTTTTTTTTTTCCCAATAGTTAATATATGTATTAGATTTGCGATATTATGTATTAGCATAGATAGAAATTTCGCTAAATAGTATAAATTTAATATATTTTAAAAATTGTTATTAACTTTTGGTTTTTTTTTTAATTACAAATTTTGCATAAAATTGATTTTTATTGTTGTTTTTAAAATTATATTTAAGCTAATTTTAACAAAAGAAAAAGTAAAAAACTAAAAAAAACTAGCTAACTCTATGAAAATCAACTTCGTACAAAATTAATCATTCAACAACTCTAGCAAAATTTAAAAATTAAAATTTATCGTTTTTGTTTCTGCCTTATCAATTTCATCCTAAATGTAGGTTTTATAATTTATTAGAAGCAAAAAACGATTGCAATATTTATTCAAGTCTAGGATGCAATTCGATCAAATTGAAAATTTTGAGTAAAAATGGATAAAAAATGGACTTAAGCATGGTAAATCTATCTGACTCAAAGGAGAAGACCTTCAATCAGTATCTTAATTTCAATTCAATTTATTCTTCTAAGCATTTGAAAAGTTCTTATTGTGCAATAGTACGAACAATTTGGAGATACGATACGGAAGATCGAACTTCGAACTTTTGATCTCGAAGGAAGGAGTATATATCAATTTTAATGTAGTAATTATTAATGAGATTGGAACACATAGATAAATTATTTTGTTTTTTTAATTATGCATAAAAGGGATCGCCACTTGAAATAATTTCTCATTTTAAATTATTGGTATACAAGGTGTAAGATACCTATATAAATTTGTTCTTTTTAACCTCATCCATCCACATTCGACTTGCTTTATTCTCTATCATAACAAGTAAGAAAAGATTCGACTTGCTTTATTCTCTATCATAACAAGTAAGAAAAGATTAGACAAATTCTCCAAATCATTTTGGTGCAGATCTTAATGCAATTAAGATTGATAGCCTTCACAGATTTTAAAATAGTATTCGAGTGGATCGTTGTTGCACCTCTGTTGTCGCCCACCTTGTGCTCTGTCACCCTTACCTCTAGACCATGGCAGTTCTCCGAACCAAGATGTAACGAAGATGAAGAGTCATCTTAAGAAATCGTAGGTGGGTGCCCTCTCTAATTCTGTGTCTGATAACTCTTCAAAATGCCCATTTGATGAAGCCACAAACTATACAGAACAATGTTGCTTTTGATTTTGTCTACCGCAACAGTATTATCAACATCCAATGGGGAGATCCTCAACACTCGACCACCGTCTGCCATCACAAAAACTAGCGAGAAAGAAGGATCCTCATCGAAAATCGCCTCCACAATAATAAGAGTTAAAATGTTCTTTCATTTTCATTTAGTTATAATATCATGGAGCAAATTTGTCATAAGCTAATTTTAACATCCATGGGAAAAAATGATATAATTGAAAAATATTATAAATTGAAACTTTTTAAACAGCGGAGAGAAAAGTAAGAAAAATACCTAAAATTATAGAGACAAAAATATTTAAACTCATTTTTATTATTTGTATTTATATTCACATTGATGGTACTTTGTTAATATTACAAACCTCCTTCAGTATTTTTATGGTATTTTTAAGATATTGATTGTCACTCTATCGAACCTTCTATTTATAAGAATGTAAATAGGTAGACTAAAATCTTCTCGTATAAATTTTTTTTTTTGGAACTGAATAATTATGGAGTGGGATCCAACCTACCATCTCAAACAAGGTAATTAGGATCTTATCTAGTAATTATAAGAAATTATCGAAAATAAAGATTTTATAGCATGTAGTTTTCCTTTTCTATATTTTCTCCCCCATAAATGAGAAATTGCGATATACTTGTAGGAAGAAAAAAAAAAGATTTTATAGCATACAAATTTTCTTTTCTTTTATTTTTTAGAATTTGAATTATTTTATAGGAATTCTGATGAAGTTGATTAATTTTCTTCTCACGTGATATAAATACGTGGAGAACATAAAGAAATGTTCTTTTTAATTTTTCTAATATTTCAGAATTGGAATTTTATTTGGAGGTGATTTTCAAAAAATAAATATAAGACAAAAAAATCTCAACAATTTAAATGGTATTTTAAGTACAAGGATATGATAATAATAAAAAAAAAAAGAAAGAAAAAGAGGTGAAGGTGTCGACACGTGGCGATTAGGTATTGGTGAGGAAGAATATATAATTAGGAAAAGTTTGGCAATAAATGATTCCCCAAATTGGCAACAAAGATGATTCGCCGATGCTTACGTCACTCGAGGTTTTTATTATTATTATTATTATTAAAAACAAATGCAACATTAGAAATGTAGGGTATATATTAAAATGGTTTAAATATTATTTTGTTTTTTCAATGGTATAATTGAAAAATACTAAAAACATGTATAACTTAAATTCAAACTTTTAAATATATAGAGATTAAATTTTAAAAAACACCCCAACAATCCAGACAAAAACATATGTTTTGGCTAAACGGTCTCTCTCATTTAAACTTTGTGAAACCTTTATTTATTAGTTCAAAGTATATTTATAATTTTTAAAAATAATATTATAAACATCAATATTTCATTTACATTTTCAACTATATCATTATAAAATAGTGATCTCGATATTTAATTTTTAACGACATCGAAATTTAACTCTCGAAACTTAAAACATACATGTTTAACGATTGTCCACACGCCTACATTTTAGGCATTATATTTACAAGAATGCCGAGCCTTTAAACTTCTTGGTTCCCAAGAGATTCAAAGTTCAAAGTGACCGAAATATTATTGTTTGTCTGATGGGTTTTTTTATTGGTTAACCAGAAGAAATTTAAATAGATATCTTTCCCTATAAACCAATAATTTAAAGCTAGAAATTATTTCACGTGACAATTACTTTTATGACTTTTCGATGCATGATTAGAAAAACAAGAGAATTTCTCTATTATGTATATGTTGCAATCACATTAATAATTACTTTTTTTTCGCCCTCTGTTGTTGCTTGTTTCATTGGCATATCACGTCTTCAATATCTTAAATTGTGGATTCGTTGTTTAAATGAAAATTAAAATTTTACCCTCCAAATCCATAATCACCTTGATGATGTTGATCTTAAATCTTCAATTTCATCGGTCACGTTTTTAAAATTTTTCGTAACCATTGTCGTCTCAGTGTCGTGAAAGTATAAGTGATTAAAAGTTATATTAATATGCAAATGTCATAAGAATTTATCTAATTTGGAATAAAAAGCAAAACTGACATTGTTTAAGACAAGTTCCAAATGGTTTACAAATGCAATTTGTTTTTAAATATTCTGTCTTCTTCAAGATCATGATGAAATTTTATAAAATGATTATCTTAATTCAGTTTTAAGCATGCGTTGCTTTATTATAGTTATTTAAATATTTGCAATAATGTTACATGACTTGCAATTTCTTCTTTATTAAAGTGTATTGGAGTTTCTCACTCAATATTTCTTTAATTAATTAGATTTGTTCTGATTTTCACATTAGTTTAAGCAATCCAACATTAATAAATGGCTCGAAAAATTGTGATCAAGTTCAAAGCATTTCCAATATTTCATTTGTAGCTTTTCCCAGCAATATAGAGCCCTGAACTTAGTTTCAACATATTTTTGTAATTTTTTTTAAAATAAATATTTTTGTAAATTCTAAAAATAGGTAACTAAAGTGTGATTTGTATAATTTGTAAATAATATTTTCTATAACTAAAAAAATACTTCCAAATATTCTTTGTGGATTGCATTGTAAGATCTAGAAATCCTATATTGGTCGAAGTATTTTTAATGGTCAACTTTAACTTACCGGGATGGTTAAGACATTTTTAAAACTTTACCCCTATTTGTGATATAATATTCTAAACAAATATGTATTGTTTGGATTGAACAATACTTTGACCGGCAAAAAATTCAAACACAAAATCGCAGGGTAGATGATACCACAAGGCCTCATGTCCTTACCATCGTGTCGCCCCAGAAACGTCTCATATATTTTTTTATTTTTATTCTTTTTAGAAAATTTAGTTTAAAGATAAATTAATATACTAACACTAATTAGAGAAAAAATGGTTTTTTGTTTTTTAGCAAACATTATTTGTCTCAAATTAACTTTTAATTATTTTGTAGAATGTTTAGTTAAAGATAAACAATATATTAACATTAATTAGAAAAAAGGAAAAAAATGGTATTTCATTTTTAATTGTAAGAGAGTTTAGCTAAAGATAAATAATATATTAGGATTAATTAGAAAATAAAAATAAAGAAAATGGTATTTCAAAAATATTTTAGCACAATACAATTTAAAAATAACTGTAAGAATAATTAACTTGAATTTATCAACTAAAATTGTCTCTAAAATCGATGTAATGTATAAAAACGGGAATTAAACGGAGGGAAAATAAAATAAAAATAGGAAAACGCTAGAAGGAGGGTTTGAACCTCCGACCTTGTGGTTAACAGCCACACGCTCTAACCAACTGAGCTATTCCAGCAGATGTTATTTACATATGAAGACATAATTATAATGTAAGATTTAGAGTCTCTTAATTTTATTTAACAAATCTATTATAAACGTTTTTCCTATTTTTCATTTTACCAATTGAAAGAAAAATTATATTTTATGAAATACGAGCACTTAATAAATTATTAGTCCTCATGTTTTCGTGTCAGTTTATTTTTTATTCTAATACTTTTAAAACATATATGTGACCATTTTAAATATTTTATTTTTGTTTTTAGCTATTTTTATTATAATTTTAGTATGATATTTTACCCACTAAATTTTAATATGTGGCTATACGTTTTTGTTAAAGAACTTTTGTGTGTATAAAATTTGTAACATTCTTGTATCTATTATCTTTTTCTTCATTTTTAATAAATAAAAATGAATTACATTGCTCCAACATCTATGAATAAATAAACAATTTGTTTTTGTATGTTTCTAAAATTGTTATAAGGATGCTCTAAAAAAGAAAGAAAAACATAAATGGTGGCTTAAGAAAATTGGATGAAAAATAAGAAAACATTATCAAATGAGCACTTATCCACCAGTTTAGACGAAGGTTTAAATGTAGATGTCGATGGAAATGTCAAGATCTCAATTTCATGGAAATATCGATAAAATGTCGAAGATATTTCTGTAAAAAGTTAAAAAAATTAAAAGGCAAAATACATTTTTGGTCCATGAGGTTTGAGATATGTGTCTATTTAATCATGAAGTTTCAAAATGAAAACTTTTGGTCTTGAGGTAGGTGTCTAGTTGATCCCTGAAGTTTCAAATGACATGACAAATTTCAATTAAATTATTTATTATAGTTGTTGACATGATAAATTATATTAATTAAATAATATATGTGTAGGTGATGGTACTTTCTCCCTCATCTCTTCCTCTCTCTTTTCCGACGACCATCAAGTCTTTGTCGCTGTCCGCCATTCATACCAGACATATATTATCTGCCACATCATCAACTACAATAAATAATTTAATTGCAATTTGTCACGTCATTTTAATATTAGTTAATAACACTAAAAAAAATTAGGGACCATCTATAACTATTTCTCAAACTCCAAGGACCATAAATGTTCATTTTAAAACTTCAGGGACCAAGTCGACATCTAATTGTGTACATTTTCAGAGGCCAATTAGACAACTACCTTAAACCTCAGGAACCAAAAGTGTTCGGGACTAAGTAGACACCTACCTCAAATCTCAGGGATCAAAAATATATTTTGCCCAAAATTAAAAAATCGTATAAAATGTTTAACTTAACAAATAAACAAAATTAGTTAAAAATAATTAATATTAATATTATGTATACATTAGTAACCGTTCATATTTTGTCGATTTTCTTTGTCCTCCATGAAAAATGTCGATTATGTGGACATAGCACGTCTCATGGTTCAAACTCGAATTGACATAAAAGTTGTGTTTGAATGTATCATGTATGGTGATGCAAGAGAGAGAATTCATGGCAGCCATGGCCTTCTCTTTTCCCTCCCATTTTTCTGATGCGTGCAAGCCATTCTCAACTCCCCTTCTTCCTTCTTCATTCTTCTTCTTCTTCTTCGCTTCTTAAACGGTTCATAAATTCTTCCCATTCTCTGTTTCCTCCATCTCTCTTTCACTTCAACTTCCCCCTGTTTCAATTAAACCCTTCCAATACCAATGGGAAACCACGCCACCAAAAAGACCGCCGCCTCCGCCGTCAATCTGGCCGCAAAAGACCTCAGCTCCTACTCAGCCGCGTGCCGCGCCGACGCCGACGTCCGGTCCTTCGACGCAGCCCTCCAGGCCCGGGCGAACCAAGTGCTCACCACACTGGCCCACGGCGGCGGCGTCCAAGTCCGAGCCCTCTCCTTCGACTCCCTCAAGCAGGTCACCGAGTGCCTGCTCGACATGAACCAGGAGGTGGTTCGAGTCATACTGCAGTGCCGAAACGACATTTGGAACAACCGGGAGCTGTTCGACCTCGTCGAAGAGTACTTCGAAAACAGCCTCCAAACCCTAGATTTCTGCACCGCTCTCCAAAAGTGCCTCAAGCGAGCTCGCGACTCCCAATTGATGATTCTAATGGCGCTCAAGCAGTTCGAGGAGGAGGAATCGCGACCCGGGAGCAAACAATTCGCCAAAACTTTGCAGGAATTGAAGAATTTCAAGGCCCATGGCGGCGACCCTTTCACCCAGGAGTTCTTCGCCATCTTCCACTCTGTTTCTAAACACCAAACGGTAACGTTAAACCACCACCACTATTATAATTAAACAAAAATGGTCACAGTAAATTAAACAATTTAGTTCATATTGTTTCTTCAGGTGATGCTGGAGAAGCTTCAGCAAAGGAAAAACAAACTGGACAAGAAGCTGAAGTCGATCCACACCTGGAGGAAGCTCTCGAGCGTGATATTCGTGGCGACATTGGCCGCCGTGCTGATCTGCTCGGTGGTGGCGGCGGTCATGGCAGCGCCGCCAGTCGCGGCGGCGCTCTCAGCAGCGTCCTCGATTCCGCTCGGATCGATGGGGAAGTGGATGGACTCCGTATGGAGGAGCTACGAGAACGCAGTGAAAGGGCAGAAAGAAGTGGTGAATTCGATGGCCATGGGGACGTTCGTAGCCATCAAAGAGATGGAGAACATCCGGATTGTGATGGAGAGGGTGGAGATGGAGATGGAGGCGATGGTGGAGAATGCGGAATTCGCCATTAGAGAGGAAGCTGTGAAGGTCGCGGTGGAGGAGATGAAGAAGAAAGTGGGAGCGCTGATGAAGAGCGTTGAGGAATTGGGGGCCCAGGCCGATTTGTGTAGCAGAGATATTACTGGGGCAAGAACTGTGGTTTTGCAGAGGATTATAAATAAATCATCCTAATTTATTTATTAATTTTTTATTTTTTTTAGGAAGGAAAAATGTAATTACAATTTACATACATCTTTTGTTTTAGTTCCCTATTCATGTGAATAATGTTTGATCCTCTCTCGTAATTACCTCCGTTTATGTCTTAATGTTCTATTTCTTTTTTACACAAAAAAAAATATATATATATATAGTTTAAACCACATCTTGATCCATGTATTTTCAGCTGTAATTAATCTTGGTCAATGAACTTACAATATTTTGTTCATTTTAATTCATATATTTTCAAAATGGTCTTATTTACAAAAATTTAACACAATAAAAATATCTAAATACAAATTTATAACTATATTTCAAAAAATTTAGAGAAAACTATCATGCTAAAATATTGATATTGATAGTACATGAACAAAAAGTTAAAAGTGTATAAACTATAACTAACTAACGCCAAAAAATATAAGGACAAAACTAATATTTAAACAAAAAAAAATTGTATCTTTGGGTCGGTTAAATTTGATTCTAAGAAGTCCAGGGAGTAAAAAAATGAAAATTTAAATTTAATTTTTTTAATTTAAAATTTGTAGATTAAGGGGAAAAATTACCAACACACCTTTTTTTTCTTTTTTCAATAAAGAAAAAAGAAGCAATTACAAAATACATTTTTATTTTTCTTTCTTGACAAACAAGAAATAACAAATAGAGAGGTTCCATATTCTTTTTTTTTTTCCTCTCTTTTTTTTTCCTGTAAAGATTTCTCTACCTTTCCATTCCAGGAGGGGAAAGAATCGATTCTATGACTTTTTTTATTAACCATATATGTCTTAAGAACTATACTTGAGTTGACTTCAAGATATTTAATTTGACGAACACTGAAATTATTTTACACGATAATATTCCAAGTCCATTTTGTCACGATCTTTCATATATTACATATATAATATAGCAAACATACTACCAAGCTATACCATATAACAAAACCAAAAAAAAAAAGAGAGAATAAAAAGGTTCAGTAACTTTGTACTCTGTAGTTTGCTTTAATCCAAGCTATGCAAGTTGCACAGTTCCTTCCCCTTTGACGTCAAAAACCTTCTTAAGAACATTTTCAACAACCTAAAAATTCAACCCATTTGACAAAAATGTTAAATGTCAAATGAAAATGGCAGATTCACAGTTTTCAGTCACATTGAACATTCCAAGGTTTTTACAGTTAACTTTTCACTAACCTTATCTGGTGTGGAGGCACCGGAGGTCACTCCAATGGTGACATGACCATCAGGTAGCCAGTTTTCTTTCTCGGCCAGCTCCCCGTACTGTCGTAGGATTAAACGAGTAAACACGAGTTGGAAAGAGGAAAAAGATGGCAGGTAGGATGTTTGAATCAACGCTCTGAATTCAGACTTACAATGAGCTTGTATGATATTGAGTTTCCTGGACCTATTCGCTGCTCGCTGTCGATCCAATATGACGGGATTCCTCGAGCCTCGGCAATCTCTTGAAGATGAGAGGTGTTGCTTGAGTTCCATCCACCAACAACTAACATGAGATCCATATCTTCCTCCACCAGCTGGTACATTGCATCTTGGCGCTCTTGAGGATGGAAGATAATGTCTCTAGTCTTTATCATGGGCTTTCTGGAGTATTAGTACACTATTCATAACGTACACAAAGAGGAACTAATCAATGATTATTGTCCTAATTCTAGTCTTGATCCACACGAATTTCGTGTGGCGTAGTGCCCGTTGGGGTTTCAGGTTGACCACACCATGGCGGGATGGGACTATAGAACCACTACATGAGTAGATACTGCGAGCACGACTCTCATCAATATGATATTGTCTATTTTAGGTCTAAAGTTTAGATTAATCGACTTTTGTACTAAACCCAAAAGACTTGACATTAATGGAGATATTGTCCATATAAACCTATCATCTTATGCATTATTACATAGGACTTCATAGCTGCACTCTTAACATATCCATAATGGAAACCTTCCCTTCATCTATAAGTTTCTTAATATGAAAATGAGCCAATTAAGATGGTGGGAGTTTTTGTAAAGATTCCCTTCCGATAAGCTATACGTTACAAAAAGAACGGTACTTACTTGAGTAGCGTCGCAGATCGTATTGAAACTAACGAAGTGCTCATTGACATTTTCAACTCCATACTTACGCATCATAGTTCTCTCTATCAATTTTCCTGTTAACAGAATCACAAAATCAATAATCCACAAGAATACAAGCTTGTCGATAAACAATGATTTGATATAGCATTCAATAGCTCTAAATACTAACCAATCTCTTCTGTTTCTCCTTTGAGCATTGTGGTCTGATTGGCAATGCCAACTTTTATAAGATCATAATCTGGATCAAATCCTCTCGAAACAGCAGACTCAAATTTCTACAAACAAGCCAGAAACTTGACTCGTATCGCGCATGATGTTGTAAAATATTAAGCATAATCAGTTAAGTAAATAGCTAAAATAAAAGGTTGTACCTTCAAAAATTCTTCTTTAGTTAAGATTGATCCATTACGTTCAACCCCGAGAATAAAGTCGCTTACATATGTTGCCTGACCCATGTTCAAACTTTTACTCTTATAATGCTTGCTTATGCTATGTGCCAAGAGTTTGAAATGTTAGAAAAGGGACAAGACTGCCAAGGATGTACCTCTGCCATGTTTTTCACAATGATGTACTTTCCAGCGAAAGAAGCAGTTGCTATGGTTTCTTCATGCCGATATTTACCATGAATTATTGACGTGTATTCCCTTTTTTTGTGTTTGTCAACAACGTTCCAAACCTACACGAAAGAAGTGCAGTATAATCTAAGCATCAACAGCTGCATAATGTTACTAAGTGGAACATTTACCAAAAGGAAAAAAGAACGAAAGAAGACAGCATACAGTACAAGGATGTCTTTCCTTCTGAGGAGAGAACTGTGAAGGACAAGTAAATGACAAGCTTACCTTGGAAACCCATGGGCAAGTTGTGTCAACAATCTGGACATTTTTATCTTTCAAAACAAGCATTTCGTCGACTGCAGCTCCAAAGGCAGGCAAAATCACAACATCGCCAGGATTAACGACATCGAACTGTTTCTTTCTTTCCTCTAGAGGAATGTAATGCACTCCCATCTCCCCCAAACGCTGTACTCATAGAATCGTCCAAAGAGTTACCAAATGATATCTCATTTCAGGTACAACACATCATGTTTTCGGCTACAACACAACCATAAATGCAAAACAGAACAAAACAACACAAAAAGAAAGAGTATGTTATCTGAGATCATTCTTTCATAACCATGTCTTTGAATTTTAAAGTTATGCGAGTCTCGAGCTAAATATGATAGTAATTGTAGCTAAATATGAACAGGAAGTGGTATACACTATAATTTCTGTGGAATCCAGCTAATGAAATAGTAATGGTAAAGGCAAGAAAAGTTCAGAGGACCTTGTTAACAGTGGGGTTGTGAATGATTTCATTGGTAATCCAAATGGTTCTACTCGGAAACTGTTTCCTCGCTTCGAAAGCAATCTGCACAGCTCGCTCAACTCCATAGCAGAAGCCATAAGCACGAGCCAATTTCACAGTAACATTTCCCCAAGTGAACTCGTTCCCATTTTCATTCAGAGTATTTATAACTTCACCTGAGCCATTCAACACAGAAATCGTTTAAAACCATCACGATATTGGTACAATCGAATACAAGAAAACTCACTCGTGAACTCGCTGTTCATGAGCTTCATAGTCTCCTCCTTGTGCCCAAACCCTTTCCGGTTGTAGTTTTCACCTCTGGCCCAGTTCTTCCAGAACAACTTCGCGTCGAAATCGGGATCGAGCGGCCCCGGAGAAGACGGAGAATCGGCGGTGCACCGGAGGGAAAAGGGTTTCCGAAGGCGAAGAGGCAGAGCTCCGGCGGCGGAGAGGGGACTGGGTGAAATGAAGGCTGCGCGATGGGGAACGCGGGGGATCTGCAGAGAAATCGCCATGGGAAATGGCGGTGGAGCAACAGAGGAGAATCAACGTTGACGTAGAATCATGAACAGACGGCATTGTTGGAGCAGGTGCTTATAAATTGGAGTGAAATTTCGATTTCAAAAGGCAAAGTTTGAAAATTTGTACTCTGAAGAATCCATCAATGGGTCCCTCCTCTCTTCTTCCATTCGCACTGTTGGTGGGTGGTTGAAAACAAAAATTATTTAAAAAAAAAAATTGAACTTTTTGTTGCTTAATCGGAAGAACGTGGAAATTTTGGTTCAGTTACAATGAACATGTCGTTTGTTGTTCAATCCGCCAACTAATTTTTAAATTAGTATGTATTTATTATTTTTTTAAATATAAGAGAGAACCTGTCAAATACCGCTGCGTTATGTTCACGTTGAAATTAATATGCATGGAATTGAATGTAACTACCGATATATTAAAGACTAAATATGCTTGGTCTCAAATCTTTTAAAATCTTCAAAATTTGGATTGCCATCCTTTTAAAATCTGAAGTGTAATACAAATTTTCATTTTTTCTTTTTTCTTGAGTACATGCAAATTTTCAAGTAGGACTTTACTTTTTTTTTTGAAATTTATTAATATAAAGTGAACGAGTCAAATTGTTGTTTTATTAACATATTTAGATACGTGGACATGAATGTAAAAAATATTCTTTTAATTGATGGGTGGAATTTTGACGGTGGACGAACTAAGTTTCATGTGTCATAAATCACATTCAAAGAGCATGTTCGCATGTCTAAATATATTAATAAAACAAACAATAATTTAATGATTTATCAACATTTTTTGTTAACAAATTTTAATAAACTGTTTGTAGAATAATTTAATTGAGAATTTTTAATACGGGATTTAAAAAATTGAGGATGAAATTAAGAATTGACTAAACAAATATGAAGCCAAAATTAAGGGTTTCAATCTCCACCTCTTTTTTCTACTTAAAAAAGAAAATAATATAATCAACATAAATTCACAAAATGGAAACCCAAGGGAGAGGAACATAAAATAATAATAATAATAAACTGACCCGACTGATCCGAGTTGGGTATAAAATTAACATGCTTCAAGATTGATTAGTTTTCCTTCTTTTGCTCGAAACCGAACCATCCCGACACTATTACATCTTTACCTTTTATAGCATTTGAAGAGCAATCTCTTGTTGTATCTTTCTGAGTGGGATATGTTTGCTCTTCTAATATGTTGTCAAAAACTTTGCATAATCTACATCCAATAAAATACACATGTAATCTAATGGACAAGGCATTTACTAATTGTATTAGAAAAAATTAGTGAACTTAATGTAATAGAATAATATGCAACAAAATACAATATTTTAAGAGCTTTTGTTTCATATGTCAATGAACTTTAGAGAAGATAAGAGGTGTATTTCTACTAAGCTATATGTTTAGATAACAACCGTAGTTTCCTATCAGGTTAAAAGATATCTCCAGTATTTTTCAAATAGTAGGATATCATCTACTTTAACTTAAGTCATCATGAATTTATTACTGATTTCTAACTTGTTTTTTTTTTATTTCAATTAACATTTTTTGTTCAATAACATGTAATTCGAACCTCCCCTTTTTAGTAGATAATTTTAGTTAAGACCTTAAATTAATGTTTTTTTTAAGCTATCTTCTTCAACTTCTGGTTTTTCTTTTTAACATTAAATTTTATGATTTGAGATTTTGCACTTTCTATTTATTTAGCATTGGTTACATTGTATTGTCTTTAAATATTTTCAAATTTATGCTCTTATATTTCAAGTATATTTGTGAATCTGAACATAGCTCAATAGATCAAGACATATACAATTATTTATGGTTTCTGGTAAGAACAACGTGGGTGTTACTATTTTCTTTTATGCTCCTTATAATGCAACCTTATGCATTTTTTTACACCTATATTACTATCGAGATAAACAAGGGTGAATGTAAAGTTTTTTTTTTTTTTAGTACAACATGTGGGGGTGAGAGTTCGAACTCATGACCTTTTGGTTAGAGATAGGTGCCTTAATCATTTGAGCTATGTTCGGTTTGACGGTGAAGGTAAAGTTTAATACCCCCTTGATACCTTTATTCATTTACCAATTCTAAATATTCTCACAACTTTACTTATATATCAAAAATAATATTGCATAAATAGTGACACCTACCCATCTACCAATCTTCATGGGAATCAGTTTAAACTCTATGACCACCTACCTTAAGAATTAATTCTTATATATTTTGCAACATTAAATATTATAGGGTTAGACAGTTAGCGTGTGAGATTAGTCAAAGTGCACCCAAACTAGCCCGAACACTCATGAATATTAAAAAAAAAAAAAGAAGAAGAAGAGAATTGCTAGGATAAAAAAAAAACTTTACATCTAGTAGGTATATTGTCTAGTGAGTGGTCTACTTACACCCTTAAACATCCTATAAATGAAAATTATCAACAAAAATAAAAAAATTTCATTAAAGATTCGGTCAATGAACTCTTCATATTTTCAAATAACATGATTATGATATTGTCTATGCGGTTGATGTAAAAATTTGGCCTCCATAAATTTCGTCAAATTGGTATCAATCTTCTAGAATAAACGAGATCGACAAGACTTGCAAAACAGAAGAGCACTAAAGACGGTGTAGTTCTTGCCATACAAGTTCCGATACTTAATTTAGAATCGAAATAGTCAAGTATGAAGAGTATGATATTTTGACGTAACAAAGAGGTGCATTATGAGTATTTATCTTCTAATAGGAAAATCCTACTAAGACCATCCGTACCAAATGAATTGGCTTATTCGAGAAAAATCTTGTTGTTTGGAAGATCTATCTCGTGTTCGGTATTGCACGATTCCACTTTGCAAGAACTCCGAATTATTCTGTTGAAACTCATCCTATTCATCATAAATGATCCGCTTGTCCCGAAATGACCTAGCCCAATAGGAAAATCTCAATTCATTGAACCTTTCAATACAATCAAATAGAAAGCCTAAAGGGCACCATATTCTAGGAGCCCAAACCGTGTGATGTTCTCCTCTTGAATTCCTTAATAAGATGAATTCGAATGGTAGAAAATAGAGATTTTGTCACTTATAAGATCTATTAACCATACATAAATTGATTAAATATTTCACCAAAAAAGTCGATAAATGTTGTTCTTATTTATATACTACAGATTTCGTATTATTCTCTAACACTTTGAGATAGAACAATTTTTCAAATTATTAATCTTTTTTCTCACTCCCCTTCTTCATATGGACTATATTATATATCCATTCAGAAAAAAAAAAAAAGTCATAGTTAGTGCTTAATTTGTAACCTGTCTACACTACATCCATATTAAATTTGAGACGTGATTTCGTTGCTAGGGTTCAAGGAAAAATTGGGCAAAGGCATTGGAGGAGTGGTATCCATAGCAACCGATCAATAAAAGTTTTAAAATAAAAGTATTATTATTATTATTATTTTAAAAGCATAAAAAAGTATTCATTCTCTCCCTCTGACCATACTAGCCCTTGTTGGCCTCTGATGTAGAATTCATATTAAACATAAAAGTATTAGAGGGTAGCACTAAATTAATTAATGCTATACTTATTATAAGTTAAATTAGTATTTTACTTGCTAAATACTTTTTAATGAGACCAATAATTAAGGAAAAGAGACACTCATTTACTCCATAACTTCCTTAGTCAAAGTAAAATATTTTTAGCACTTCTTTTTAATTAAATATTACAAAAAATATTTGAGATTATCAAACTTACTATGAGAGATGTCTCTTTAATCTCTCTTTTTTTTTTTTAAATCCCTAAAATTTCGTAAAGTACAACTAAATGAGAAGATAGATTTCCACGAGAAGGAGGGGAGAAAATACAGAAAATTACAATTCCATTGTATTGGTTTACAGGCTAATAACCGATTTTATATTAATATAATTTCAAATCATAATTCAAATATGAGATCTAATTCAAATAATCTAATTATATCGAATTCAAATTTAATTATAATTTAAACCTTCATGTTATTATTATTATTTTTATATATATTTTTGTAAAATCAAATTAGAACGTTGTCATCAACCAGAACATAGCTCAACAAGTTAGGAGATATATATTCAATCATGAAGTTGAGAGTTTGAATCTGAACCTCACATGTTGTATTTAAAAATAAAAAAAAAGGACGTGTTTCTTGATCTTTGACCATTTTTTTCATAAAAGTCTCTTCTCCCATAATTTTAAGATGGGTAGGAACGATCGTAAAAAAAACAAAATAAAGAAAAATAATAGCTTAATAAAGAAAATAGATTCATTCAAGAAACACGAAACGGAAAAGATAGAGACGCAGGGGATCAAATTTTTTCGTAAAATAGTGCAAATTTTTTAAAATTTACGAAAAATCTACATCTAAAGAAATCTTTTTAATTTTAAATATGAGCAAATCTTCTCATTTGGTTATATTTTCCGAAGACCTCTGCCACGTGTCAAATTTTTGATGTCTACAAAATATTTTTGGAATAAATTTTAAAATTCCAAATAATTTAAGGCGACCATTCAAAATCATGAGAAAAATAGAATAATATAAAAATAAACTATAAAAGATTCTTGAATTTCCATAATTAATAAAAAAATTATGATCATAATCTTTTTCTTAACTTAAATGCAAAGAATTGGTTCAAAACAAACAGAAGCCAAGAAGGAAAGAAAAATAAATTAAAAAAGAAAAAAAAAAAAAAGATTCCAAGATGCTAAGCTTCTTCAGCAATCGTCAACCAGATATTCGGAACCGGCGTCGTTTTCGACAATCTTCGAAACACAAAACGACGGCGTTTTGATCCGTGCTCTCGATTCTCCACCAAAACACCGAGCTCTCGCTTCTCACAAATTTGCTCTCTTAATTTCCATTTTTGTCTGACGCCTCCTATTAGTCGTTGTCCCTCTCACTCCCCTCGCCGTATTATCCAACGATCTCGCCGGAGGGAAACGTTCCCCGGCGTTTCCCGATTCCCCGGATCCGATTTGCTCATCGAATCTCATCATCAATTACCATTAACCTCTGCCTTTTCTTCTTTCTTTTTTTCCCTTTTTCATTTTTCCATCTGACTTCAATTTGTCTCCCTCTTTTCCCAATTCACTCGCGTATTCCTTTCTCCAATTCCCCAATGGAGGACTGCTTCAGCAGCGATGAGGACTACTACGACTCCGATCGAGAGTCTCTTCACGGTCTCGAGAACGAGGAGTCCGAAATTCAGTGGGCCCCCGAGGGTCCCGCGACTAAGGTATTCAATTTATTGGGAGGGGAATTGCAATTTGCAATTTGCAATTTGTTTGTTACCCGGTTCGTGGATTGAACCATTATTTTTTTATTTTAATTCTTGATTCAATTTACGAAATTTTGTGATGGCAGGGTGTGGATTTGTTGTGTAGAAATATACATGATTTATTTTGCTTTCGCGTGCTGAAAATTTGGGTTTTGCTACATTTGGGCTCTTGTTGTATTTGTTATTATATGTTTTCTCTTTTCCGAAAAAGAGAGAATTTCTTCATGTTTGTGATGATGGGGTGGCGTAAGATGGTGTCATAATGCCGTAATTTCGTTCGTGTTAAGATTTACATGCATTTTCTGATTGATCATACTTATGAATATCATTCTTGTTGTTTTCAGGTTATTACTAAAGAATCACTCCTTGCGGCACAGGTTTAACACCACTTCCTAACTTCATATAATAGACCCTTTTTTTCTCATTTTATCATCAAATTGGATGCTTAGGTTCTTTTTCGTTATTTGTATTTGATGTTGGAGTTGTTTTGTTTTCATGTAGAAGGAGGACATGCGTAGAGTAATGGACTTGCTATCATTGAGGGAATACCACGCTCGGACCTTACTCATTCATTACCGATGGGATGTAGAGAAATTGTCTGCAGTATTTGTGGAGAAAGGGAAAAGTTACTTGTTTGCTACAGCTGGTGTTACTACGATTGAGCAACAAAGTAATAGTTCCTCTGAGCCTTCCTCAATGGTGATGTGCGATATCTGCATGGAGGAAGTACATGGCAATGAAGCAACAAGGATGGACTGTGGTCATTGCTTTTGCAATAACTGTAAGCATTTTTCTATATAATTTTGTTTGTTTTTTAATAAAACTTGTTCCCATAATCTTTCTACATATACTGAGGAATGCATACTTTTGGTGTTCCATAAAAAGATTTTTTCAAGGGCCTTATGAACTGATATTATAAAGATTGGCTGTGATATTGTTAATGTTAGTTAAGCCACTGTATGGAATGAAAATTTGAAGTGTTTATAGAAATTACTAATAATTGTCTGAGCTGAATTGTTCCTTATGTTATTGAAAATATGAAACAGTTATCCTGAGATCAAATTTAATTCATTTATTGCTTCAGGTTGGACTGAACATTTTATTGTGAAAATAAATGAGGGCCAGAGTCGGAGAATCAGGTGCATGGCCCACAAATGTAATGCTATCTGTGATGAAGCAGTTGTTAGGAATCTAGTTAGTAAAAGGCATCCAGATCTTGCCAACAAATTTGATCGTTTTCTTCTTGAGTCGTACATTGAGGATAATAAAAGAGTCAAGTGGTGTCCAAGTACCCCTCATTGTGGCAATGCTATACGCGTGGAGGATGATGAGTTTTGTGAAGTAGAATGTTCGTGTGGTCTTCAGTTTTGTTTCAGCTGCTTATCAGAAGCTCACTCGCCATGTTCATGTTTGATGTGGGAACTTTGGATTAAGAAGTGCCGAGATGAATCTGAAACAGTTAACTGGATTACGGTACATACAAAGCCCTGTCCAAAGTGCCACAAACCTGTCGAGAAGAATGGTGGCTGTAACCTCGTCAGCTGCATCTGTGGTCAAGCATTTTGGTAGGATTCTACTATTTTCTAGTCATATCTCTTTCATATATTGCTGAGACTTTGAGGCAGATAGCTCACTGTCATATATTGCTGAGACTGCTGACACTGCAAGTATCCGCCAGTTTGGTATTCTTCAGATACTTGTAGTTCATACTTAGATTTGATATGAAACAAACGTTCCTCTATTCAACGAGTTTTCAAATAAATAGTTGGACTTGTGCATATCAGATTAACGTGCTTGTCTGACTCTTTTGAGCTCTCTGTGTGAATGTGCTGACATGTAGCAGTTAATGCATGCCAGTCTTTTCTAGGAAATAACTTTAATTGTTTTCCCTAGTGTGGTTAATTTTTTTTTAATTTCCCCAAGTGTTAAAGAGTAAAGGCATCATACTTCCTCAGTGTCATGTTATGGATGTTTGATGTGGGCTGTGGCTAATTTGAAGAACTTTCGAAATTATGATAATTTTGACTTAAAATTTAGACCTAAATTCTTCTTTGAAAGCATAATGGATTTTAGCTGCATTGAATAAAATTTTCTGCTTTTCGTTTGGTTGAAAATACCAAAAACCTCTCATGTCTCCCGAGTCCGGCCTTGGGTGGTTGTAGGTACCCCTGGGTATAGGGGAGCAAAGCTCCAACTCTCAATTATTAAAAAAAATGATATTTCCTTTTTATTTATTTATTTATTTTTACCTTTTTGAGCTTTTCAAATTATCAATAGAATTTTTAATTTTCTGATCTCATGGTTTGTCTTCTCATTCATATGTATCTTGGATGATTTCGATGCATACTGGATTCATTTAGAATGAGCTCTATGAAGGCATGCAACTAAGTTAATTTGATGGAATTTAGTAATATCTAAATCCATCGTTTTTTTTTTATTTAAACTTAAAATATAAAAAAATTAATTGAATATCATGGTTTGAAAATAAAATAATGTTTTCACTTTAATATGTTTCTGATATTCACTTGAGTGAGTTTAATATAATGTATTTTATCATTTTAACCTTATTTTAGTTTTAGAATCTTTAAAAATATGTTTTCCATGATTTAGGATATAAAGGTAGTGAGGTGTGACGTGTGAAAGATGGGAATTTTTGCCTTTAACTTACCAAATAACTTAAACTTTTTTCAATTTAAATATAAATTCGTAAGAGTCGAGCATCTTGTACTTAATACTAAGTTTTCTGATAGTAGAGCTCTGTTTATTTTTCTACTTGTTTTATACAAAGAAATTCATTTCAGAAATAGTTTTGCTATCACTTATCTAACAATTCTTAATTTCATCTCTTAACTTGCTGCTTGTTTCTTTTCCAGCTATTTATTATTCTGCCCTTATTTTAGTTTTATCCAGTGTGGTCTAAGTATCTACTTCCCATCCTCCTGAAACAGTTGGCTGTGTGGTGGAGCTACCGGTCGAGAACATACTTGGTCGAGTATTTCTGGACACAGTTGTGGGCGTTACAAAGAAGAATCAGAACAGAAAGCTGAACGAGCAAAGCGGGATTTGTACCGCTATATGCATTATCATAATCGGTACAAAGCTCATACAGATTCTTTTAAGCTTGAAAGCAAATTGAAGGAATCAATACAAGAGAAGATCTCAATTTCTGAAGAGAGGGAATCCATGCTCAGAGATTTTAGTTGGGTAAACAATGGACTGTACAGACTATTCAGATCAAGGCGGGTTCTTTCGTATTCATACCCATTTGCATTTTATATGTTTGGGGATGAGCTCTTCAAAGATGAGATGACACAGGAGGAAAGAGAGATAAAGCAACATCTGTTCGAGGACCAGCAACAGCAGCTTGAGGCAAATGTTGAGAAACTGTCCAAGTTCTTAGAGGAACCGTTTGATCAATACACTAAAGATAAGGTTATGGAGATAAGGATGCAAGTCATCAATCTGTCAGTTATCACTGATACCCTCTGTAAGAAGATGTAAGTGTTCTCGAACAATCTCTTCTTCTGAAATGAGTGTAAATCTCTTGGAACTAATGTCTTATTCTCAAACAGGTACGACTGTATTGAGAATGATCTTTTGGGTTCTCTCGAACTGGGTATTCACAATATTGCTCCTTACAAGTCGAAGGGCATCGAGAAGGCATTGGAACTTTCTGCTTCTTGGAACAGCAGAGCAAATACTACAGACAAATATCTGCCATCAGACTGTGGTACAAGTGGTAAAGTGGAGAGTACTTTTCTACACTTTCTTATTCATCCCTGTCATTTCTAAAATTTCATCTGTTCTTCTAAAAAGATGCATTTATTATCTGCAAATCTAAATCAATTAATGAAAAACATATTGCTTGGTCTGTCCATAAGATAAATGTTTATGTTGGGCCTATTTGATGTGGAGTTCTTTGAATTCTTTGTAGTCTGTTTCTGAGACATTGTGTCAGAGATACTACATCTATAAAGCTTTTGAAAGATACTGGGTAAAAAAGTTTTACTGATACTACAAAATGCAGGGGGTTTGTCAGAACGCGATCGATCCACTGGCTTGAATTCTGAGGAGAATGGATGCTCTTCTAGGAAGCGTGCCAGAGCAGAAGGTGTTGCTGGCAACTTTTTTGATCTAAACTTGCCTGCTGGGGTGGTTGATAGGAACTGATAGATATCTGGAAGTTGCGTGGTTATAAAGTACAGTTGTACAGATCTGACATAAAACATTAGCTTCTTTAGCGTGGGGCCGGGTAATCGAGGATTGGTATCCCAGGTGCATTTAACGCTTCACTCTTTGTTAATCATCTTTGTCTCGGGTTGAATATATTCTCTTCGGCTGAGCTATTTTGAAAGAGAATCTCGGAAGTTGATGTTCTTTGTTTCCATTTTCTTTTGACGAATCGCCAAATTGTACATAGCCGAAATCGGGCTTTGATGATGGTATTTGGAATGTAAATGCTAAGTTCTCAGCTTGAGACAAACATATGGTATATGCATTTTGAGATGGTCTAATATTTTCCGACTGGAAGTGAAGTTTCAATGTTTTATTTATTTGATGTGTTCTGAAGTTTATGCTGTGTGCCATAAACTAAATGTGTGCTTCCCATGTCTGATGGATGTCGGATGATCCTGTTTTGGTTATTTTCTCTTCTCTGCTCTTTACAGAAAGAAGTAATGTTAACAATTCAAGTGGATTATGGCTGTGAAGTTTCTTTTGAAAAACTAAGATTATTTTTGGTTGGAGTTGCCCAAAAATGTAGATGAAACTAAGATAAAAGTATAGGCATTTGTTTTTCTTTTTGTTTTGGGTTGGAGGGGGATGGTTTCTTTTTGTTTTGAAGATTGTCCATTTTAGTTTTTGAACTTTTAAAACCTCGTTTAATTTGTGCTTTTGTGAATGTTGATGTGACATGTACATTGTTATATTACATCAACTCCATTAAGATTTACTAATGAGTATTATCACGTCTATATAAAACTACATTTCATTCTACTGAATTATTGAAGTTCTAGAATGGAAACATGAGTGTCAGTGCACAAGGCGAGGATTAATAAGGAGGGCAAAATATTTCAGGTATAAAGCTAACTTTTTCGTGGAGAAGTGATGACAATATTTGGAGAATAAGCTTTAGCTAATTCTATGACACAATATTGAGTGCAAAGCGTTTGTAGGTATCTTTTTAAGTTTATCGTTATATATCTTGAGACTCGACCCTTTCAATAAATTAATTTCAATTCAAACATGAATTTGATTCATGCGGACAAATGATTACAATATGAAAAGAGAAAAAATTAGAGTCAAGAAATGCTGTGGAAAAGGTAGATGTGTAGAAGTTTTTCAATAAGGCAATGTCTTTTCAACTCTTTAAAATGGAATCTATAACAAATATATATTAGAGATAGAAATATCTATTTTAACCTCAATTTGTATATTTGCATATGTCAGGTACTATCAAATATTCTTTTGAAAGGTATTTTAGGAAGAGTTTTCAATTTAAAATCATCTTTTTTTTTTGGAAAATGTGTTTAATTTTTGCAGCTCAATTTAAATTTATATCTTTTTATAAAAATTAATTAAAATTATGAGGAATGAAATAAAAATAATAATTAAGGAAATCATCTAGTTAATAAGACACCTACTTCGACTAAAAAGATTGTGGGTCTGAATTTCTATCCTTAAATGTTGTACTAAAATAATATTTGACAATGTTCTTTTAAAAAAATAAATAAATAACCTCCGACAAAGTTGAAATTAAATTTGATTTAAAATTAAATTGAAAACTTTTCATAAACCAACGATAAACCACACAAAATTAAATCAGCCAAAGACACTCAAAATCAAACATTAGAAGAATTTATTGTCAATTTTCACAAAAATAGCATTATTCAGGCAGAATAAGGCTCAAAGCTAGTTGTAACTCTAAATGCAGAAAAAAAAATTAAAAATAAAAACTTAAATCGTGATAGTGTACTAAAATTGAAGAAAAGAAAATATAGATCGAAAAATATGACCTCTTTGATAGGCAATTTAGATGAGTAGAGTAGATCTAAATAGTAGAAATTTTAAAATATGTTTATATTTGGAATGTTTTAAAATTTTGAAACTTTAAAATTGATAATTATATTTAAAAAAGATAAAAATTTGGATAAATATACTATTTCAGATTAGAAACTCATTTCATTTTTTAAAATTAAAATACGTAAAACATAACATATTATAAATATAATATTGTAAAATGTTAACCATGCAAAGTTTATAACATATATATATACACGTTAATAAATTAATTAATAATATTTTATATCAAATTAAATATTTAGCTGATATCTACCACTAATTTACAAATATAGTACTCATCATTTTTTGTTTTTTGTTTTTAAATTTAAGATCACCAACACTCTCCAAAATTCATGCTCTAAGAGAGCATTCAGAGAAAACTTTCTGGTAATATGGGAATATCATAGTTGTTCTATTTATTACTTGGCATGCCAACGGTGTATTAACAATAATCTAAGGTCCACTCGATATATTTTTGGGTAAAAAACACACTTAGTCTCTGTACTTTTGACAAAGTAACGATTTAGTCATTCTACTTCTGATTTGGTAACGTCCCTAAACTTTAATACGTAACAATTTAGTTCCTATAGTTTAAAATTTGTAACAATTTAGTCCTACCGTAAAATTTTTATCAAAATCAAGTATCGATTCTTATCCTATAACACTTTAGTATTTGTAATTTATAAATACATTTGGTACTTCATCGGTTTATCGACCTAAATGTATAAAAAATTCAACATTTTTTTTTTACGATAGGGACCTAAATCATTATAAATTTAAAACTACCAAGATTAAATTGTTACATACTAACTATAACAAATTTAAAAGTACAAGTAATTCAAATCGTTACCAACTAAAGTTTAAGAACTAAATAGTCACGTGACCAAAAAAGATATTATTTTAACAAAAAAAAAAATGAGCATTCGTGAAACAAATTTGGAAATCTAGATAAGCTTCTCGTGAGAATCTCAAACGGCCCGAAGGACGAAGATAAAGGGATTTATTTGGCGGATTTGAAGTTAAATGGAAGTGATGGATGGGTTCTTCATAGATTTCAATTTTACTTTTCGCAAGAAACAAACTTTGTATGTTTCAGATTTGGGTTCAGCAATAAGTTGATATCTTCGCAGAGAGCGCACCAGAATCACTTATAATCTCTCTACTTCGCCACCAGAAACTACTTTTTTTGGCGCCTTCTGATTCCAAGTCAAGTGCTTTTCAAAACCCCATTTCCCCTTTCTTCTTCTTCTTCTTCTTCCGGCCTCAAAACCCTAGCAAGCCCCCCATGGAAGAAGACGGCATCCACTTGGTCCTCGGCAGAGCCACGGAGCTCCGGTTGAAGATCAGCAACTGCATTCACAAGGCAAGCAGTACCACCGCCGCTTCTCACCCGGAGGACGGTGCTTCCGGCGACGCCGAGGATGACGACGAAGTGGAGCGGCTTTTGAATATCTGCGATGCCCTAGAGTCCTTGGAGACACAGCTCTCTTCGTTGCAGGTTTTCCCTCACTTTCCTTTATCGGATTAGGGCATTTCTCTGTTCTTGGAAATTGTGGTCTCTGCTGCTTTTAATTTAGAATGTAGTTGGTATCTGGATGTCGTATTCTTTTGTTCATTTCACATATTCTGGAGCTGAGAGATTGTTTATCTGCTTTTTGTTGAATCTAGAATGAGGCAAGAAAGAGAATTGGAGCTTTGAAACTGCTTATTGAATTGCTTTGTACTGGCAAACGAGACCTTATTCATTGTTTTCTATGGAATTGTTTATGAATGCAGAAACTGATACTCATACCATAGGAACTGCTTTTCTGTGCTGTAAAATCCATTTGACATGTTTCTTTGCTTACTTTTACGAGGACTTTTTCCAAAATTTGAGTGAACAATTTCGGTATTCTCTCTCTCTCTCTCTTCCTACTTCTCACTCTATCAAAAGCAATGTAGACTGCTCTGTAACTTTTACCTTTAGTTCCATGGTTATAATCATTCTATGTTTTGAACTTCAACTCATGCTATAGGATTAACTTTGAAATATTTGGTGGTTGTTTGTGTGGCATCCAGCATATCTCAATATGAAGATAAGTTAGGGTTGTTTGATAACTTTCGTATTTCTTGTTTTGTTTTTAGTTTTGAGAAATATGTGTTTTTCTCAACTTTTCCAAAATTGTATACAAATTTTGAAAACAAAAAAGAGTTGTCTTTTGTTTCGTGTAACAAATTGAAACAATTATTAAGAGAAAACAGTGAACAAGAAACAAGAAATAAGAAAGTTACCAAATGCGTTTACAAGTCTGATTTGATTATTGTTAACCACCACATATGTAAACCTTGTTTTGTAGGAACCATCAATGGGAGTACTTTTCTCACACCAGCTAGTGAAGTTGTGAATGCGTTTCTTAGATTATATCGATAGGTTGTTGCCACGAGCACCGGTCATTTATTGTTTGCTTTGCATTTGTATATGTGCGAGAAACCTGAGCGGATGAATTAGTATTGAATTCGGGTGGTTATAAAGGAATAACTCCATAGGTTTATGTTCTTTTTTGTTTTATTACTAAAACTTCAGGATGATGTAACCTATGTTGAACATTTGCATACCTTGTTATATAATAATATGATCCGGACAATTCTTCCAGCACTAATTGACATTGTTTCTCGTTTCATACTAAGGATTTGCAACAACAACAACGATATGAACGAGAAGCTGCCCTCAGCGAGATTGAACACAGTCGCAAGATGCTACTCGACAAGCTCAAGGAGTACAAAGGGGAGCATTTGGAAGTGATAAACGAAGCTTCTGCATTTGCTGGGGAGGCAGTAGAGCACAACCATGACCTCATGCTTCCTCCATATCCAAGCCGACCTCCGTATTCTCTTCACCCAAACAATGGCCATGTGCTACCGTCCTTGTCTGCTCGTAAATCTGTTCGTAATGGCGTAACCTTGAGCTACGTGACAAACAATGCCAAAAAGGAATCAAGTGAGTCATTGACTGCCAGCAAACAAGCGAGCACGAGAAACTCGAGGAATGGATTAGGTTCACTCATAGCTGTAGCAGCCAAGGCAGTGTTTACCATTGTTGGTGTTGTGTCTATATTGAGCATGTCTGGTTTTGGGCAACGGATTGCAGCAAAGAGAGGTAGTACTCGTTTGAAGGTATCCGGTGTGTTCGAACAGCCATCAACCGGAGAAGAAGAGAGACCGAGAATTCAATGCCCGCCCGGGAAAATCCTGGTAGTGGAAGACGGGGAGGTGCGATGCCTAGTGAAAGAGAGAGTCGAAGTTCCATTTTCTTCTGCTGTGGCAAAACCAGATGTGAACTATGGATGTGGTTAATGCCATTTTCCAATTCTTCCCTCTTCCTTTTAAAAAGGTAACACTTCTATTCTATCTTCAGAGAAGCTTGAGCCTTCAGTTTGTAAAGTTAAGCATTTTGCTTTTACATTTGTCCGTTTAAAATATATATATAAATATATATTAGTTATTATAGTTTAATTAGAAAAGGTCTATCACTAAATTCTTACCCTTTCTTTTTTTAATACTATTTTGGTCTCCCTGCTTTTTTTTTTCTTTGATATTTTAGTCTCTGTACTTTTAAAAAAAGTTCATTTTGATGATAGTTCATTTTGGTCCCTGTACTTTCAAAAAGTTCATTCATTTTGATCACTCTACTCTCAGAAAGTTCATTTTGGGTCCTCTACTCTCAAAAAGTTCATTTTACTTTCTATCCTTTCAATTTTTATTCCCTTTAGTCCTTGCACTTTCCAAATGTCTTACTTTTAAAAAGTCATCAACTTGATCATCTTTTATAAAATTTTAACATAAATTATAACATAAATTTTATATACAAGGTCTGGTCTTTTAACATAAATTTATGACAACATTTTAAAAAATTGAGTGAGTAAAATTGTCTGTGTTATTGTGTGAAATGAGAATGAAAATGAAGGACCAAAATGGACTTTCAGAAGAACCGAGAGTTAAAAATACATATGATAGTACATCAATCAAAATAAATCAAATATAAAGTATATGGATCCATATTTTTATATTGGTTCAAGATTTTGTAAATTTTAATTTTGATTTCTAAAACTTTTGTCAGTTCAAGTTTTTAGAAGTTTTTATTCTACTCCAACTTTCGATAACATGAGGATGTGGAAAATGAACGATAGGGGTGGTTTAATATGGAATTTAATGGAAGTTGAGGGGCTTTTTCAAAGCACAACAAAGGATGTGGATTCGAGGTTATTAGTGCCTCAAACTACGCCAATTAAAATCTAATACAATTGAGACAAATATTATTTTGAATATTTAAATACTATTTTGGTTTATTTATTTATTTTGTTCATTTTGATTATACTTTTAAAATGTCTAGTTGTGAGTTTGATATTCTACTCCATATTTTGTATTAAAAAAAATTACTTTCGGCCAAAGTCAATACGAGGATCAAAATACTATTTAAATCTATTTTCAATTGTTTTTTTAAATACTCTATTTGTAAATAATTTTATAAACAAACACGTTTTTTTTTATTTAAATAAAGCTATTAGTTCAAATTTTATATATTCAAATCTAAGTTTTGACAACCTCCATAGATTGATTGAATCATTTATTCAAGGAAGAAAAAAAGATTGATTGAATCTGTGGTCGGGTTGGAACCATGATTTGAATATCCTACGAATTTCTCTAACGTCGAATTATGTAATAAAATAAACCTTAGAAAACAGAAAAATTGTTCCCCAAGATAAAGAGAATGACTTGTCAAAAACAAAAAATGCCCAACAACTCCCAATCCCATGCTTTGGTCAGTGAGTGAGTCACCCCATCTGACCAAAACTAATTTTTTATTCAAATAAAACAACTCAAATAATTTTACAAACTTTGCAATTTTCTAAAAAAAAAACGTTACAAACACATAAATTCACCATTATCAATTATTTTTACCAAAGTTCCAACAACTTTGAAAATTCCCGTACCAAAACCAAACAAAAAACCTGCAATTTTGGCAGTTTTTCAAAAGACAGCCCCCTGTTTTACTACATGTCTTGTCGATGCCTTGTGGGATTTATATATAATAATTATTCAAAGAAGCAAAAAGCAACTTCCCATGGCTTTTCATTGCCATGAAGGGTTAAAATTAAAAAAGAAAAAACCCAATTCTTTTTACTGTTAAATAGCATCACCCAATATGAATTTCCTCAACAAAGAAAAACACCAAAACAGAGACATGGGAACATGTGGAGGAGAAGGCAAAGGCTTCACAGAGGAGCAAGAGGCTCTTGTTGTCAAGTCATGGAGTGTCATGAAAAAGAATTCTGCTGATTTGGCTCTCAAATTCTTCTTCAAGTAATAAAAACCCGACCCCGTGTTATTTCCATCGATATTTCTATGAATCGAAAGCTTCGAGTTGACTAATTTGTTGTGTTTCTTTAGGATATTTGAAATTGCACCGTCGGCTCAGAAGTTGTTTCCTTTCTTGAGGGATGCCAAAGTTCCTTTGGATCAAAACCCGAAGTTGAAGCCTCATGCTTTGAACGTCTTCACCTTGGTAAATTTATAAACCTATTAAAAATTCGAATTCTTTCTGGACATGGCAGTTGAATCAATGTTTTGAATTTCGCAGACGTGCGAGTCGGCCGTCCAGCTTCGAAAAGCTGGCAAAGCTTCCGCCAGAAAGGCCACCTTGAAGAGGCTCGGCGCCACCCACCTCAAGTACGGCGTCCTCGACGAGCATTTCGAGGTATTTTCTATTTTAGTCTCTAAACTTTTAACTCGTCGTCGGAATGAACGATACGAAATGTTTTTTTTTTTCTTTCTTTTGAATGAAAGGTGACAAAATTTGCACTTTTGGAGACCATAAAGGAAGGAATTCCAGAGATGTGGAGTGTGGAGATGAAGGGGGCATGGGCTGAGGCTTATGATCAATTAGTTGCTGCCATTAAAGCTGAGATGAAGCCTTCTTCCACCTCTTCTTAGAACTCTTCCTTCTCACGACGTCGTTTTAATATGCTTAAAATTTTGAAAAATAAAATGCATGTCTTGTTTAAAGGAAAAGTGTGGCTGTTTTTTTTTTTTTTTTATTTAAAATTTTCCATTCTTAGGATGTAACTTTCACACTGTTTACCACGTCAGGTTGAATTATTATAAATTGAATAAGAGCTTCGAAATTAGATGATATATTTGAATTTGAGTTCAACAAACTCAGGTGGATCAGATTGTTCGTATACTTGAATTAATACAAATGTAATTCATTAGTTTGCTTGATAACTTTGTTTTAATAATTTGTATAAACCAATTGTTATCATAATTAAGATCAATTAAACTATTTTTTTTGGTTATGGTCAATCAACATACTCATTATCGTTATTATAGTTAATTTTTTTCATTAATAAATATTTTTAGAATGGTCAAGAAAGATTTAATAAAAAATTGATAGTTACTATCTATACTATGCATATTCCTTCTTGATAACTCAATCCTAAGAACTCTAAAGTTAAGCATACTTCATTTGGAGAAATCTTTGACTGGATGATCGGTGACCTCCTCAAGTGTCAATTACCGTTAAGCTTACTACTAATTTTTCATTAATATGATATAACTACAAGCAAATTGATGTTCTTTATTAAAATTTCATTTCATCTTGTCAATTTTTGGGATAAAAAATTGGACTAGAATTGACTTATGGAAACCTTATGGTCAAAAAATTTGTATATAATCAATTAATAATGTTTTGTATATATACGTCAAAATAGTTGAAATGAAAATGGCAATCAATTATTTTTTGTAACATGTGAAAAAATTGTATTTTATAACTTATACAAACAATATGATTTTATTCCAACTATAACGATTTTGCAAACATGAACGGAATATATATATATATTTTTAATTTAGATGCATTATTAAATTAAAGATGTGACAACTATAACAATTATTAAATGCATTATTTAACTATAACGATTTCGCAACAATATTAGATTTTGGACTTTTTTGACCATTTGAGTATGACTTTGTTTGACTTGACTTTATAATATATTAATTTAAGCTCTTAAATTGGTCTAAGATAAAAAGCACAAATTCATAAAAATAATTCAACATATAAATTTTAAATGAATACAAAAATTTAGTTTATTAAATAAATTAGATTTACACCAAATAAATGAGAGTTACTTGAAATAAATGAGAAATTAGCATGAAAAGAAATAAAAGTATATCATCTTCGGACCTCATTTCATATCGAATTAAAGTGATATGTTACGTGAAAAAAATAATTTGTACATGATTAAAATAAGAAAACGTAACGACTTATTATATATATTAATGTATATGTGCGCATGTACAAATGTTTTAACTCATTAACGAACATCTTAAAGACAGTCCACATGATCGGTTTTTTTTTCTTATTCCTTTTCTTAAAACGTAATGTTTTAGTCCTATACGTTATTTTCTTTTGTTATACACTTTAATCGATTTTAGAATCTACTTCACATGGTTAGAATATTCTTCGTCTCTAAAATAAGAATGAAAATATGTTTGGTATATTCGAGGCGAGGACGATTATATTTATTTAAAGCTTTTATATTACACATTTCATTGAGTCAATAGTCAATAAACACACTACTTACACCAAACATTGAACCCAACCTGATACTTATACATATTTTTATTTCATAGGACTCGATTAATCGCTATATATATATATATATATATATATATATTGAAAGGTGGGCAATGGAGGTTTGTTTGGGTTATTATTGGCTATTCTATTATATTATATATATGCCAAAAGCTAATGAAAAGACAAGACAACCTCGAAGCAAAAATGTAATGAAATGAAATTGGTACATTGAACACGAATAGAAAACTTTCATTTGTGAAATTAAATAAATGGAGAATTGTGTTTGCTGTTGCAACATTAAAATGCCTTGTCTTTCTTAATTAGTGACAGCACAGTTCTGCCTTTTTGTCTACAAAATACAACATTCCACTTTAAATTTCAGCCTAAATATATGTTTTAGTCATTTGGGTCTTTTTTTTCCTTTATTATTATTTTAGTTTTTATTGTTTAAAACTCTCTAGTCTTTTATATTTTAATATTTTTCAATTTAATTTTTGTAAATATTAAAATAGACTAGTGATTAATTTACATGGCATAATATTTAGTGTGATGAAATAAATTTAGAGTAAGAAAAAGGCTAATCTATGAAAGTTTCTTGCCTACAAAAGAAAGAGCAAGTTTCTAATTCTTTAGTAACATATTTTCTCAATCTAAATTTCTCCCAATTCACTAGATACTTAAGGAGTCATTGAGGCCCTGTCAGAGATATTGTTGGAGACCTCATCTATAAATAGAAGTCATTTGCCTCTATTTCAGGTATGCGAACACTTTATTACTAATACTCTCTTGAATACAACTTTGATTCTTCCCGAATTGGGCGTTAGAGTGTTTTTTGTCTTACAGGTCTCCTGCCCAGTACTTTTCAGCTCGTCCTCCAGATCATCTTCCAGTCCGAGTCGAGATTCGTAACTTGGTCATTTTTGCGATCACACACTGTCGATGTCAACATTATTGATATTTTGTTGATAGTTTTTTAAATATTTTCTTTGCGATACTATGAAAATGTCATTTCACTCCTCATATCGATGTTGAATTTATAAACATATAGAAATATCAATAAAAATGTTGGACAAAATTTTAATATTATGGTAGATGAGTTCAAATATGTATCAAACTCTACCAAACTTGTAGATAAAATTCACCAATTCTTTGCTTGATGGATTAGACATCTTTCCATTGATTTCCTAAGAATAGAAACTTCTAATCGAACCTTCTTTATAAAATCAAAGTAATTATAAACTTGATCAATCAAACATCGCTTTCCTAACTTAGAGAGAGCAAGATCCCATTCACACTCTTAATTTTCTTGTGTTTGACATTAAAAGGATTTCTTATTCTTTTCTTTAAAATGTAATTGCATTTAGTAATTATTTTTTCTTCTTCATCTTTTATATTGAAAAAAGAAGGAATGATTTTGTAAAATGTAATCGCATTTAGTAATTATTTTTTGTTCTTCATTTTTTATATTGAAAAGAGAAGGAATGATTTTGTTGAAAATGGGAACAAGAAACAATAAAGTAATTTTTATTTTTAATTTTTATTTCTAAAATTTTCCTACAATTTTGAGAACTTTTTCTAGAAAATGAAAAATAAGAAACATAAATGCTTTAGTTTCTCCGTAAAACTATAAACAATAAATAAAAAATGGGAAACATTTTGTTAACGGGCTCTAGCCCATAATGCTTCAATTACTTAAGCTTCATTGAGCATTTGTATCATTTTTAATTAATCTTTATCATTTTGTACTTTTATCATCTTCAATTTTTTTTTCCTTTTTTACAACACGTGGGGGAGGGGAGGAGTTTCGAACTCACAATCTCTTAATTGAATGTAGGTGCTAATTACCGCTGAACTATGCTCGTTTTGACTTATCATCTTCAATTGAATCATAATTTACAATTAAGTTGTATTAGATATTCTTTAAAAAGTTTCAATTACACCGTTAAAACTTTATGTTATATACACTTCTATTATATTTAGTCTTTATTATTCATATAATATGAAAATGTTGGTGTAGCATATTACAATTAGTCTATTCAACTAGAGACAAATTTCATGGAGGCTATTCAAATTCTTCGAGATAAAATGGATGTCTTCATAGAAATTTCTTGGCTTCTAGAAGATATCAGACATTGTGGAGGAGAATTGGATCAATCCGTTAAGAGGACCTCAAATTCGATAGCTCATGAATTTGATTGGTTTGCCATGGAAGAGGAGTAGGGATGGAGTGGTCTTCAGTTATTGACTGTGGTTTTTCTTAATTTTGTTTCATTCTATGCATTATTCAAAAAAAAAAAAAAGTCTATTCACCTATCTGTTATCCTATCATTCATAATTCAGTCAAATTTACCTAATAAACATTTTACATCAATGCTTAATGTATGTATGTATATATATAAATTGAATTTAATATTTATTAATACGTTAGTTTCCTCATTCATACAATGCACACGATTTCTATCCCGATTTACTTAAAATCACAGTCGTCGGCTGCAATTTCACTACCATACTTTTAAAAATACTTTCAAACCTACTTTATTTGTGTCATTTTCTTTTAAAAAAAATCCCACTAGATATTACTCCTTTAAATCATAAAAATAAACTCAATTATAAGGGCATAAAGTTCAAGAAGTTATGACCATGTTGAGTCAATGCTTAATGTACATATATGAGCAAAATTTATAATTTATTAATATGTAATTTTGCTCATATATAGAATGACAAAAATGTCCTTTATTAAAATTAGACAGTCAAGGAAAACATTATTACAATAAGGTATTACTCATTTACATCATAAAAATAAACACGATTATTAAAGTTCCGTCATGAGAAACTTATGATGTGTACTCGTTAGTAGTTGGATGGTCAATTGTAACTTATAATGTAGATTAATTTTTAAGCGAGCATTTGGATCATATTGACCTTCAACATTTAAAATTAATTCGAGGTGGTTATTTGAAGTCTAAGAACGTACCAAGATATCCAAGGACAATCAATACTTGAAGCTAAATGTGTCAAAAATATAATAAAAATGACTAAAAACGTGGTAGAACAACTTTATAACAACGTTAACGATATCGCAAATTGCAATACATTATACTTCTTGTGAAGTTTAAGTAAAAAAATACCATCAAATTTGAATATTTTAGTACTCTTCTCGAGGTTTATGAGGAGACTGTGAAAAACAATCATGCGATATCAAATCAAAATGTCTATGATTGGTTCTATGATTAGTTTTTTTTTTTTTTTCAAAGTTTCTATGATTAGTTTTACTAGACTTAGGATAGCATGTTGCTTAGTTCTAAGATGTTTTATTTTATTTTTAATGCTTTTTAATAAGAAAATATAAAATATAACTATAATGTACTTTCAAACCGACAAAATCACATTATTCACTTAAATTGGAAGTTACTTTCAAATCAACATTTTTAAATCACTATTTTAAAACTACATTTTTTGAAAATTGGATTTTATATATGTTAACTTATCATTTTCGCCGTTTCAAAAAAAAAAAAAAATTATTTTCATTGATCTATTTTCTCTATTTTAATTTTAAAATTTATAAGAAGTTATTTAAATTTCTAGAAAAATTTATCAAGTAGCATAGAGTGATGACGAGTCAAAATTCAATGTAAAGTATGAGTGAGAAAATAACATATTGTATTAGAATTTGAATGAGGTAAAAAGAAGAAAAACAAGTGGGAGTTGAAGTTCTAATAAGTTGGATAAAATTAACTAATTTAAGTTAAAGTTTGGCACGGTTTCTTGTTTCTCGTTTTAAATTTTATTAAGAAATTTAAGTATTTGATAATTATTTATATCTTTATTCTCATTTTTAGAAACATTATCAAAATTGTAGAGAAGTTTTGAAAATGGAAAAAAAAATTCTTTTTATATTTTTATTTCTGTGTTCCATTTATAATTTGTTCCAACATAAACATAAATATTGTGTATCATTCTTGAATTCATAGAAGTGTTGGGACAATGCAATTCTCTTGTCTATTTTATTTTATTAAATAAGAGGAAACAGTAACGTTGTCAAACAAATTCTTAATTTTTTTTTATTAAAGAATATTATTACATCGAAAACTACGGAATTAGTCAATTTAAAGTTCATATCCTACTTTATATGTTATGTTTTATTATCTCTAAGATGAAATTCAAATATAACTAATCGAATGAGATACATTGAAATTGGCTCAATTTTTTCAATTTAAAGTTAATTAATTATATATAACACATAATTATAAGAAGGCAAAAAATTAAAAATTAAAAAAAAAAGAAATAATAGAGTGCCATTGTTTCTCCTCCAAAAGGCACTCTCATCTTTCTCCTTTCTTTACAACTTTACATTTTTCAGAACAACTCCCAAAGAATAAGGAATGTAATGCATTTCTCTGCTGCATCTTTCGCCGTAGATTGGTGATTTTTCGAGAAAATGTCGTTGCTATTCACCGTCAGCTTCCGTTCTTCTTCCGCCGGAATCTCAGTAAGACGCACCGGGCGCTCCGATTCGGAATCCGACGGCGTTCGGCGCCGCTTTCAGAGACGGATACGCCTTCTTGGATGTAGCGAGGGCTACATTTGCTTTAGCAGCCAGAGCGCACAAGTCCGTGAGGGAAAGCGGGAGATGGGATTTCGCGAGGGGGATTAGAAAATAAATTTCCCCCAATTCAAGTTCTCTGTCGCTGGAGATCTGGGGGACGATTGAATCGATCTTCATAGATTCTGAGCTACAGAGGAAACAGCTCGGATTCTGGGAAAGAATGTGGCCGGCCTTTACTGGGTGCCTCAACTCCTGAAGCCCACCATCTGTATGAATAATTTTCGCAGTGAAGGGCCAGTTGGTGAGGCTCGCACTTGAGTGCTGAGATGAGGCACAAACCCCCATGTTTGTAGAGATGGAGAGGGAAAATGGTGGAGTGGGTCGAATCGAGGAGGATGAGGAGATGGGTACGTAGTGAATCACTCCATATATTTATATACAAAGAGAACAGGGAGAAGATTAGCAGCGCATGTGAATGATGGGGCCATGATAAGACCGTATAAAAACGGCGGAAAATGCACTGAATATGAAGTATGATATCCTTTTCCTTTTTGAAATTTCATTGGTGCTACAACTAGATACCAAAACTGTGCAGGAGCTGGGCCATACTGAGAGTAGAGAGAGAGGGAGAGGGAGGCCCCATTCTCGACCAACCGACTGTTCAACGTGTCTCTCACTCTTTGACAATGACAACAATTGGTAACTTTTTCTTCCCAACTTCACCATCCAAAAAATCAGTGAAAATAGTTATTGAACAAACCCAATTTACCCTTTGGATATCAGTATCGGGATTTTGACAATGCTTATGCTTATGCTTCAATCAGGGGAGAGATGGGAACTCATCTTTTGCAATTCTTTTGTAACCATAGTGTTTTCTTGATCAATCTAGACTGGAAAGCCTTTTTGTTTTAGGCTTTTTGGGGGTGGGGTGCGATCTCTACCCGGCCCCGAGGCTGCTTTTCTTTGATTTCTTTAATGAGATTGTCTCTTATCTAAGAAAAAAGGACAGTTCTTATGCTTCATGGATTTGAATTTTGCAGATCAATTTTGTTTGCCACAGGGTGGGGTGGCTGTCCTGTGTCGTGTTTGGTCGTAGGATTAAGAAGATGGGCAAAAAGGAAACTGAAACTGAATAGTACCAACCAAATTACTTCTTGTTCTTGGGATGCAGCAGAGGAGGAGAAGGGCCTCGTGCTGTGTCATCACAGTTCCTTGCAGTACTGATTACTGATACATACTTTCCAGATTTTGTCTCATGAGGTATTGCTATCATTTCTCTTCAGTATTCAGAAGGGATCCATTAATACGCTCATATAATAGAAAGTAATCATTGTAGAATGTCTGGAGATGCAAAGTAGTGTATTTTCTTTTTTTCAAATTATTGAAACCTTCAAAAAGCACTTTTTTTAGGTGTGATATCATAAAAAGTCTTCAACAGTCTTTTGAAATAATATATGTTTGGAAATGCCTTATTTAAAAAATATTATTTTGAAAAGCAATGTTTTTTTTCGTAAGCATATCCTTTTGTAAATTAATTACGAAATTTATTTGATAATTAACATGTATAGCTCTGTATTTCTGCAAGATTTTTAGCTATAACAATTATTAGCAATAAATTTAAATTACTATTTTAAAAACTGAATATTACGTGAGTAAACAATCTCACTGTTCTTTTTTCCCATTTATATCCACATTTTATCTATTACTTTTCAAATATATTTTTTAGAATTCTGAAGAATCATTATCTTTTCTGACCTTTCTTTTCCTCCTCAATGTTTATCCATTTT